AAATTGTTCTTACATGCTGTCCTATGAAACTGGTCAGACAAATTCTTGTTGCTGTACAGGGTTAAGAGATGACCATTTTTCCATCCTACCCACATTTTCTCATCAGCTTCTCTTCATCTTCCTAACACCGACAGCTTAACTCCTTCATTCCTCCCTACTGCAGTTCTGTAAGATGACAAAAATATATAAAAAACCCCACCACAACAAGCAAACCTATCTAACTGTTGGAGAACCTGGAAGGGGCTAAAGCAGATGGGATGAACCTGGGCATGAAGCCCTGTGTCCAGGTGCAGGATTTATCCTGCAGCTAGGAGGGTTGCTACTCTGCTAACTCAACTGTGAGTTGTCACTGCTCCCATTGTTCCACATGGAGAAACACCCAGGCAGGTGACAGCCCATGTTGGTGGCACTACTGTCAAGCGAGGAGGGCACACAGCCCCTCCTTGACTTTGTTGTCCTGGAGATTTACCCACGTGGCTGAGCTGTCTTCTGGTGGGAGCAGCACCCATGACTGGCTACGGGAGGTTCCCAGAGGTGGTGGGCTTTGCAGTGTGATGGGTTCAGGGACAGCCTGCCCCACGAAGACCCAGGGACACAGTTTGGCATCCACTTGGCTTCCACCTTCTTTGTCCATACTGCCTCATTAGTCTTACATGTACTTCCTTGTACCATCTTGCTTCTCCAAAAGCCACCAAAGGGGCTTGTGAACTTCCAGATCCCTCTCACACACTGGTAGGCTGCATGCCTTCTCTTGTAGGGGAAAGGGAATGAACTTGCTCGCCTATATTTGGTCCACCCCAAGCCCTGCGTGTTTCCCAAACATAAATACATGGCCCCAAAGTCCAGCAAAAGTTATAGTTGATTTCAACCAGGCCTTGCAGAATAATATTCCCAAGGGTGATAGGTACACCATTTCAGTCAGATTTCTGAAGTACAGGCTCCTATGCAGCAGCTTATAAAGTGCAGGAGAAAAGCTTGGATCAGTTGGTGGCACAGAAGTGTAAAGGAGTTGTCTCCTTCCCTAGAGAGAGATGCTGATGAGGAAGCACAGGCTGCTTCAGGGGACTGGTGAAGAGTAGCCCACTGGCAGCTAGGTTTTGACTGATGTGTTGGTTTGATGCCAGAATCACAGGTATGGGACTTGGAAGGTCAAGGCAAACCAGGTAGCCTTTTATGCTGCAAGATTTCCAGCCCAATGTCGGCTTATGCACACATTACAGAAATAACCAGTGCAGTGGCTCATTTTCTGTAAGCTGCCAATGTTTGTCTTCATAATACGTGGAAGCGATGCAAGGAGGAAAGGGAGCGGGCTACCTCTTGAAGCCAACGTGTGCAGATCAACTCTCACTGGAATTGCAATGGCAAAAAAACAGGAAAGGACTAGCAGAGAAGGAAGTTGTGTTACCTTTTTCCAGTGGATGAGATCCAGGCTCTGAAGCAGTGTTTTTCCTGCCTCCAAACCTCTGCCACCAAGGGAAGAGATGAAATTAAAGGCATCGGAGGGGCTGGCCTATCTTTCCAGTCACTTGTGACTGTCTTCACACCTGAGCGGTGCAGTTCTGGTGGCCGCTGTTCCTAAGACCTGGTGGTGGCCAACTCGTTTCCAGGGCCTTGCTCAGTACTGCTGCCTGCGAGGCGGCTCTTCCCCCCCTCCTTGTTTCTGGGGACAAAACTCCACTAACCTCGATGGAGTGGGAGATGAAAGTTGGACACAGGTAGAGTGAGTAACTTGTGCTGCAGTTTATCTTAATGTTCACCATCAGCACCACCTTTCAGACAAACTGTATTTATAAGAACAAGACCCCAGAACAGCTCCCACATCTGAAACCAGTCGCTCAAACAAATATTTAAAGGAAAATGTGGTAAATCCTTTTTTTTTTTTATTTTTCCCAGTGCTAAGCTATACTTTCTCCCACTCTTTAATTAGCTTACAAAAGTGCCTCGTTCACTCAATGTGGGAGATGGTGAATAATGTGAAGTCAGTAGTTTTGTACTCCTGGAAGGCAGTGCCTTCCAGTGTTTTTGTAGACGTCCTGGGGTCGTTCCTGTTTTGCCAGTCATCTTTTTGCTTTCCCACTGTGTCAGCATTTTCCAAGTCTTTCCACACACCACGTTTACTGCCATCTGTTATGAACAGGTTTTTAATTTGGGATGGTAATGTACATCCCAGGCCATTTAAAGTGTTTATCCCCTGCCATCACTGCCTCTTTCTGTCTTTTATAAACTGTTATCTTTAGCTTAATGTTTTCTGTGGAAGAGTAACATTTTCTGAATTTTCCCCAGGACAAACCCGCACGTTTTTGCATATTATTTTATTTGATAACAGCCTAATATACAGAGGGGGAGAAATAAAGTCATGAAGTTCTGGTTATAGCTGCCACATATCTTTGTTTATGGCAAAGTGCTATGGTGGTTCTGTTGTTGAATCATATGGTCCTTTTGAATCTGATATCAAAGTCATGACTCAGTATTTGCAAACAACCATCCTTACTTGCCAGGATCAAGCTATCCTTAAAAACACAGAGCAAAGCAAGCAAACAGAAAAAACCACTGATGCTTAACCTTTCTCCCATGCAATTTCTCAAAAATACCCAACCCCAAACCCCTCTGACATTATACAGTGCTTTTAGGGTCTAGTTTGTCCTTCACTGTGCTTCTCTTCAAGCTCACAAGCAAAATAGTTGGATTATGGTAACTGTAGAGGTACTGTACTTGTTGCCTTCTAGGAAAGGAACAGAAAAAACCCAAAAGAGTAGCAAAATCTTACTTTGCTTTCACCTTTATTTTTTAGAAAACACCAAGGTTAGGATGATGACACACTCTCAGCTCCTGTTTTGGCACTGAGGGCTTCTTGCATGTGCTGCAGTCACCAGCTGAAATTGTGCTTTACACAACTGCTGGCAAATCACCCCATTTAGGATTGTGATTAACCAGCAAAATAAATAGCCTATATTAACACACATTTTAAATGAAATTATGAAAATCAGAAAGATGGGCTAATTAGCCTTAAAGAAAGAGAGAGGTCAGAACTAGAGATTAAAATCTCAATTTCATTTTAGTTGAAATTATATTTTGAGGGGCTTAGGTTCCCTGACATTTGTTCTCATCTCATTGTAAATCAAGGAAAGTATCTGCCTTTTCAGTTACAGAGTTAGTACCAATGACAGATAATAATAGACACGTTACAAAGATGTTTAAATAAAAGGCTGCATAGTTCCCTCCCTGCCATTCATACAAGTGTTTCCTTTAAAAGGCAAACAGGAGGAAGTAGGAATAACAGGCTTTAAGTATCCCTATTAAAAATCTGGAAGAAAGCTACTTGGACACGTTTAGCTGTTAAAACAGCTTAACTTTTGCAACATCTATGATTAGGGTACTACCAGGGGTCATTAGTATTTAATAATAGTAATAATACTTAACACTGTTATCACTACCAGCCTCACCCCCCCGGCACGCAGCAGCGATGCCCCAGCTCGCCCCGTCACCCCTCAGCCCCAGCCTCCCACGGCGTCGGGGTGCGTTGGTACCAATCCCCTTGTCCCCCGCCAGTGCTGGCGCTTCTGCTGCATTTGTTAAAAAGCTTTGGGTCCCAGGTACTCCTCGGTGGTAGCACTGCAGTAATTCTTTGCACCTGAGCAAGTCAGTCTTTCCCTTTGCTTTCAGCTTCATTAGGAGAAAGCAGAAATAATGTCTGTGGTTTTGTAGCTGCTGGCACGCACGTTGGCTCCCCACATGTTGCCTGTGCTGCCATTTGATAGCTCAGGGGCAGCGCTACAGTCGTTGCTGGCAGGGCAGGAGAGAATAAAAGATGGTTAGTTTCTTCCAGGCAGGCAAATAAGTTATATACAAGTGTGACATGGTGAGAAATTGGGGCTTTTCCAGCTTTTCTTAGAGAAGTGGTTTTTACATCAGGTGGCGGTTACACAGTCTGTATCATTGTTCTGTTCTCCAACAACTGATTGAGCCAAGAAGAAAGACAAAATTTGCTGAAAGGGATGAGTTCACAGAAAGCTTTTATTATTTTATGCCTTTGCTTTTTTTTTTTGCTTTTTTTTTTTTTTTTTTTTTTCTCTTTTCTTCTGTATTCTAAAAACAGTTTTAGGAAGTACTTCAATAAACTTCTTTCACTGAATTGTATATGATACTGCAGTACAGATCAGGCGTGGGGGTTTCCCTAGCTGTGCCTACCTGATCAGCTCTTGCTTACAAAGGCAAAGGCTTCATCCCATGGCAACGCTCTGTTATAGTTCCTGCCTTGTGTTGAAGATACTGAAATTCCCTTGACTCACAGCAGGTGCCTGCATATTGCATACATGTTGCTTGTTTACTCTTCAGCAAATATCAAATACCGCACATTCAGAATTTCCCTCTTAATTACTTAAAATGAATGTTTGTCAGGTTATAGCAGGACTTGATCATTTACGGACGAGGAGAGGTCCTCTTACCAGTTTATCTCCTAGACGGGTCCTGTGATCTGCCTATACTTATATATATATATTATCCTATAACATTAAAGGCTATAATTGAGTTTCAACAACTCCATCCAGTTATATCATGCTTGAATTTTTTCCTGTTGCCTCTTTTCTTAAAAACTAACCAACCAATGAAAAAAACAGGAAGGTATTTTCCCTTACATTCATGTGGAGGATCTAGGAGTTGGTGGCCCAGTATTCAAATAGCCCTTGGAGGGCAGCGGTGGTTGGGAAGGTGACATAAATGATTGTGCCTGGATGCAGTATCCTACTGAGGCTGTTGCAAAAGAGGGCTTTTATTTCTCAAGTGAAATGTTTAGGTCTCTTGGGCTGACATCTTGATTATGTCATGAAAGCTGTTTCAATGAAGAAACTTGACAACAAGATTAGCAGCCAGGCATCTATTGATGCATATTCCTAAGAATTTCATCCCAGTTCTATGGAGAAAGGTCCTAGAGAGTGGACAGAAATCAGAACACCTAGCTGTTAAAAGAACTCATTATTTGATTTCCTGTTATCTAATTTCAGGTGTCCCAGGCTCCATGCCCAACGCATCATGGGAAGGTGACCTGAAAGCGGTAAAGTGGATTGATATGGAAGAGAGCCATGGAGGTTGTCATGGTAATGTGTACATTTTTCTCCATTTCTTCTTCCTGTTCATACAGTGAAAAACACTCGACTGTTGTTCCTGTACTCCTCCAGCCTCTAATCATAATGTGAGACAGTCTTTAGACAGCACTTCATTGGAGAGAAAACATTAGAAAGGAGTCATGCCCTTCAAAGTCCATATGTGAATGATAGTGAGAAAGCTGCAGCAGTTGTTCCTTCATCATGAATTCTATAGAATATATCAGCCTTGGAAAGGAGGATATCTGGCAGCAATTAGGATTCACATGAGTTAGATGACTAATTTCTTGAAGGCCTTGGGGGAATTTTCTCGCAGGTGGGAGGGAATAGCCCTCGTGTATGTCCCATGCCAGGACACAGATGCGCTTGAGCCAGCAGCAGTGTGCAGGGAAAGTGTCCTGGGTGAACTTGGAAAAATCCCAGCTCTGAGCTGGGCACTGATGCCTGCCAGAGCCACAGCTGATGTGGAACCTGAGGAGCTGTGGGCTGACAATGATGGCTGAGCTTTGAGTTTTCCTATGTAGCGTTACTTCATGACATGACATTAGCAGGAGATAATCTTCTGTATGGCACACTTGATTTTTCAGTCACTGGTTTGTACATTGCATATTGCTAATAATTCTGACATATCCAAGTGGGACAAGAAAGGGAATACCAAAATGCTAATGATACAAATTTTATTTCAAGAATTCTTAATCCATAACATAGTTGTTTGTGTTGAGGAGAAAAATTCTGAGAACTTCAGTCAGCTTCAATTACGGCAGGTTCACTCTAGCATAACTACATTGAAATCAGTGAAATTATACCATTATCACCCAGAATGAGTTAGTGGAAAATCTAGTGTGAGTAAAAGTATTCGTTTCTCTTCACTGGCAGAAGAAAATTCCCCTTTTCTCTGTTTCAGCCTTGCCTGAGAAAGACTCTCAAGTAGTAACACTTCTTTTCTGAGCTATCTCCTTATTTTGCTCATTATTTATTCTGAAGTAACTTCCTTCAGTTCATCCCATGGTTCATGCTTATTCCCACTGCACATCCAGTAGGCCTTTTAGCATGTTTGTTGTGTAGGAGATTATTCATAGTGCCTTTGCAGATAACATTGCTTAAAAAGAATGATTTGGATCCTTGATTCTGACATTACTTTTTTTTCTTTTTGCAGGCCATTATGTCAGAGGCATTTGTGTATACGGAACGGGTGACCTCAAGTGGCTTTTTAACTCCACCTGTATGTTTGCAAACAAGTTTGAACTCAGAACATACCCCCTGACTGTGGAGTGCCTGGAGCTGAGACATCGGCAGAGAACCTTGTCCCAGAGTGAGGTTCAAGTGGAACCCAACTGGTATTTTTAGCAAGCAAAACCACAGGCTACAACATCAATAAAAGCAGTCAAGAGAGCAGCAGCAGCAGCAATCTTAATGTCTGCTGTGCCAGAAGCATAAACTCATGAGACAGGTTTCTTTAGGATGTTCTGTAGATGCAGCTCAGGTTGGCTTGTCTCACACAGCCTGAAAATCTCACCTTCCACTTAACACTCAGAGACCAGAGCTTGAGAGATCCAAAAAGAGACACCAGGGCAAAGCTCTTCTTGTAGCTGGAGGAACTTTGCACTTTTGCCATTTTTAACGGGCTGTTTTCCAGACCCAGTACTTTGTCTTCCCACACTGTCATTGCTATCTTTTTCTATAAAAATATAAACAGTCATGCACCCCTGGTACTTCTCGTGTCTAAAAGAAAAGCATGCACATTTGGTAAGCAAAAAGGTAATGAGTCACAGTCAGCAAGATCTTGAAAGCAGGAACACAACTGCTGGCTATACATACAGATACGGTTTTGTCAAAGATACTGATATTTACTACAGAGAACTGATGGAAAAGTACTGGAAATGGAGTAAAGACGCTGCACTTCCCAGATCTTACCTGTTCTTTAAATATCTGTTGGGACAAGGTTTGTAAGAGAAAACAGCATCTTTTACTAGATCAATGGGTGCGGTTAGAAAAATCAGATGGGCTTTCAGGCACAGGAGCCCTTCTCCATGGCTGAAAAACAGGGGTTTGCGTATTTGTCTTACTTGACCAACTGATAGAACTGGAAAAAATAAAAAAAAAACTCTTTACAGGCAGATTTTGGACTACCAGTGTTCTTAGATTGTCATGTGTAAGGACACAGAGGGAGAAATGGAAATTGGGAAAGGAAATAGCAAGATAAATATTTTCAGGACTGAACGAGCAGTAACTGAGCTTTGGCAATAACTCAGTAATTCCGTGTCATATTTTGGTATGGCATAAGCCTTCTTCCCAAGTTTACTTCCTTTCATCTTCATGTAATGGTTAATGCACATACTTAACCATGGGGTTCACTTCATCACAGCCCTATTTTTATTCCCCAATAACAGCCACTAGAGGGAGGCCATTAAATAGCTGAGCAGAATTTTCCTTTCCAAGTCTACATGACCTGCTAAAGCACACAAAATCTCAGCAGACTAGACATGCCACAGAGAAAAAAAAAAAAAAAAAATCAGTGCTTGGGAATGTTTTAGTAGGGCAAACAGAAGGTAAAAATTACAAGTATCGGTCATTGTGTCCTAAAAAACAAAGCAAGAAAGCAAAACTATGAATGCTTCTTGCTGTAGCTGTGATGGTTGTATTTTTGTGGCAAGTTAGCACAGTGTTGAGTGACCTAATCAGCAGCACGAAGGCAGTATAAATTGGGATGCGTGAATCTAAGGAGAGTGTGTGCTGCTCTCCTGTCTCTTCTGAACAAGTGATAATGGCTCAAAGAGTACTTGAATAACAGCAATTTACCACCAATTTTATTAAACAGTTTATAATTTCAGGGTCTTTTAATAAACTGGATCGGAAAGTGCAGCAGTTCAGAAACAACAACACATCATATTTAGATGTCCTGGAGCACGGTTGGTAACCCCCAGGGAAGGTTCTGAACAGGCAGGATCTGCCTCGGTCAGCGTATTCTGCATTTGTAGCTGCCAACACCTAGTAACGCAGATCCCTGCAGAAAGACATGGAGAATTTACCTCCAGAGCAGAACTTTGGTGGAAATCCGGTTCAGTTTTTTTGAGGAGGGGAGAAGAAAAGGGCTTTGGTAACTTGCTGCCATAGTGGCAGCTGAAAAAGGAAGTCTTTCAGAGAGAGTAATTCTTTTAAAGAGGGAGGTTTAGGATATCCAACTTAAGAGAGGTCTGGAACCATCCTCTCCACCCCACCCCCATTTGCTCTCGCAAGCTGAATATCCCCCAAACTGAAACATCCCAAATAAAATAAATAAAGGCACTCTCACTGTTTTATGTGAATCTTTAAAGTAGCCCAAAGTACAAACAAGATTGTGTTTCATTGTTCAGACTCCACAGGCAAATGGCAAAATATCACCCAACAGCAGAAGCAATAAGTCTGGCAATTTGAAGCTACAGATATAAAGGGGTGTTATACTCTGAGCCTGAACAAATATAGATATTTTAAGACTGCGTTATATTGCCTGTTTAAGTAAGAACCCAGAAAAACATCACAGATTTCTGTCCAGCTGTGATTTAGAAGGTTGGGGTTTTTTTCATGAATGCTACTCCAGGTTATGTTTTTCTGTAAGCAAATTAATAAGTTTTCATTGTGTGACTGATTTTTGGGTGCAACACCTGCCTCATCAGTCTCTTCTTTTTTTTTTTTTTTTAAAGGAAAGAATATTACAGTTAATCACTGCAGAAGAAAGAAAATAACAATTTCTGGCAGCCAAGATTAAGAAATGCATCTAAACCAATGAGACTTAATAGCATCAGCGGTACTTTGGAATAGCAGTAAAAGACAGGGAAAGATGAAAAACTAAAGGAGGTGGCTTTAAAGGACATGAAGTAGGGTTGGACTCCTGTGCACAACAGTAACAACAGTGATTCAGGTCAGCAGCTGTGGTGCACCTCCACAGAGGGAGCTTGTGCTCTGAGGAACCCATATCTGTACATCCTCATTTTTTACAATTATGGCAAGGCAAAAAAAGGTAAACTCTTTCCCAATGCTACTTGTAGTTGCCTTTTGAATCCATATAAACAGCTAAGTGCAGTTTTCAGTTCTGTTCAGTCGCTCACCAAGATGCTGACTGGGACGGGGCACGCAAAGGACATGCTCTCTCTAACAGGATTTTCAAGCAAGTCAGACTTTCCACTGAAGTCAGTTTGACTTGCTTAGACAACCTACTGGAGGCCTTTCTGCTTATTGAGCTCCCAAAGACTTTTATACATCTTGCCCAAGGAGTCTAAGTCTCACTGTAAGATGTAAGGCATCTGAAACCACAAGCCTTCTGACTCTGAGGACAGTGAAACGAGCACAGGAACAGGCTGCTCAGGGAGGCTGGGCAGTCTCCATCCTTGGAGGGGCTCAGCAACCCACCAGATAAAGTCCTGAAGTCATAACAAGTACTTCTGCACAGGCTGTCATCACTTTGGGATTAGGATTCGTGCTTATGAATGAAAAACATCAGTCCCCTTTCCTCAACCTTTGTGAATTCCTAATATTAAGGATGTTTTTACATACTGTATGATGCTGTACCAGCAGCTCCGTGACCTGCAAACTTCTGTGCCTGTTCTAGGTACCGCAGTGCTTTTTCTTCCTTCCCTAGCATCTCAGATGTTCAATATATTAAAAATGAAAGAGAGAAGCAGCACGCATTCCTCTTTCATCACTCCGTATGTGAGGGAGTGTGGAGAGGACATTTGGAGGAGCTAGCATTGCACTTTCTGTCAGTGATAGGGAAGAGACATCACCTCGCTTCACCCCTTGCTTGTTATCATCTAGGCCTAGGAAAAATCTTGGACTTATAATCAGGGTTTGTTTAACTGGTCTATTAATACAAGTAGGTAGTCATGCAAGACATGGAGCACTCTGCTATGCGGCTCCGTGGCGTGGTAGTTGGGCTTGCAGAGGGATGTATGAGCTGGCAGGGCTGGTGCTTGCTAAATCTCAGATTAAGTAGAACTTTCTCCTACAGGGTTTTAAAGTATCTGTTGGATGTGGGAGTTGAGAGTTTCTTCCCAAGCTTTTATCTTCCTAAGACACACTATTTCTTCAGGTCCAGGAGGCACTGTCATTTTCCACAGCACAGCACCATGAAGTTAATACGAGAGCTGAGACACTAGTCAGCTCCCGGGGCCTGATCCAAGTCAGCAGAAAGGGCCGCAGATCAGGCTGAGCTCAGCGCGGGGCGAGGAGCGGAGCTGCTGCAGCCGGAGCCCCCGTGGCCACGCGCTGCCCAGAGCCAGCCGGCAGCCGCCGGCGCTGCAGCTTCAGGCTTACACAACCTGCACCCCCTTCGTGAATAACTGGCAGGTCTCACGCCACTTCCTTTCAGCTGAACACACACAAATACTTCCAAAACTGCCCCCGTGCCTAGGAAGATGTATGCTCTCCCCGCGGCATCGGAGGCGTGCGCAGCAGCCAAAAATGTCCGGCAGCGCGTGCCAGGTTGCAGCAATTGTGAAAGCCCCTGGGAGCACAGCCGTGAGAGTGGGTCCAAGAAAAGCAAGAGACAAGGCTGTGCCTCCTCACGTTCCCTGCAGGGCTTGAGCCTGCTACTGCAAACCGGGCATCCACTCAAATGCTGCTCTAGGGCTCTGGTCTAGAGGCCTGAATTAAATTCCCTGGCAGCAGGTCCACAAGCAGCATTTTTTGAAGAGAAGGGAGGGCAAGTCTTAGGCCTATCTCATGGCTCAGTGTCTAGTAGCAGTGCTGCAAAAGCTAGCCTAAACCAGCAGGCTCCCATCCCACCCATTCCCACGATTTGTCCACATCCTAGCTGTATCAATTCCTCTACCAAGAGGCCAAGCAGTACTTGTGCCAGCCCAAAAGAAGGGGTGGCAGAGATGATCCCAGGACTGGGATCCAGGCAGCTATCAAGCTGAGTCTAGTGACCAAATAAAAAAAAAAAAAAAAAAAAAAAAAAAAAAAAAAGGAAAATAAAAAAGAGAAAAAAAAAAAGGAAGAAAAAAAAAAAAGAGGGGCTTACTGAGGTACCCTTTTAACTTCACTTAAGGAATGAAAGTAATGTGGATGTGTGTATTCATGTTTTCAGTTTTACCACTTCTATTAGGCATCACCTTAGAGGTAATATAGCAGCCAACTAACACGGGTCCAATATTGGACACTCCCCTAGCCAAATTACTAACAGAAATGGTATAAAGGAAAGAAGAGGTGACACTGAAGTTGAAGAACAGAGCAAAAGCCAAGCACACTTTAATGGGCATGTGGTTTGGTTTGGTTTTGCTCTCTTGCAATATTGCACTCTGCTGTTAAAGTACACTGCCTTGTCCTGCAAACCTTGTCTCACTTAATTTGCGGGCACCACAGCTACCACAAACCCACCATTTTGGTACCCACAACTGCAAGATTGAAGCTTTGATGCACATGAATAAATCATCGCATAGCCAGAGGAGGCATAGAACGAAAGTAGCTGGTAGGACTGTGTTCTCACTGGCTTCTGAGTCAGACACTGGCTTCTAATTCAGTTAAAGCATCAAAGACTCTGGTGGACCTGACTTTTGTGAGCTAAGTCAGCAGTGACACCAGCAACACCAAACAATGAATTAAGTGGAAGCTGCAGGTACACTTCACAGAGGATGGTGTCAAGATCTGTTCATTAGCACACACTGATTCAGAGGTCAATACGCTGTGTTATGCCGTGCTATGTGCAGGAATAAAATAACATCCTCAGCTTTCCCCAGAGAAGCCAGGGAGGATTCAGACCCCTGCTGATGGGCCATCCAAGAAAAGGTCTTTGCCTGGAAAATCCTGCTGGCTCATGGCTGGTGACTGCCAGCAGAAATGTTAAGGTGCCACAGTGGTGGTTTGCTGTGTGAGCATGAAGTCTCACTCATAGGAATGATAAACAACTGGCTGGTGCGTGAATATAATTTTTGGGAGGGGCACCCGAAGAGGCTGGAAATAAGCACTAGAAATAGGCTTAGAAGTAGGCACTCAAGGCAAAACAATGGCTTCAAGTAAGTAACAGGTTAATCTTACTACTTGATCTGATTAGGTAAGTCAAATCAAAAGCAAAGGTCCTGCTTTAAACAAAGGAGCTGGCCTGGTTTTGATCAGGAAGTCACTGCAGACAGTCATTAGCACTATATTGGCTAGATGCTTCAGGCTCCACTGCAAACCTTAGGTACCTAAAACACAAATATTTGCAGCACATCTTACGGCACATAAATGTAAATCAAGTTGTCTCCACAAAAGATGGCAAGCTTCAGCAAATGTGATCCATGGTCTTAGACTTTTCCATGCACCCAGTGTGAAGGGCAGTAGAGGAGGTCTTAAGAGGACGCATGGAGCTCAGAATAAGGAGGATCAGAGAACATGGGGGAGAGGAGGACAACTGAAAAGATAGAGAAAGCCTTAGGACAGAAGTAGGGAGGAGGTAGGAGAAGGAAATCAAAGATGGGAAAAGGAAAACAGCATATGAGAGAGTGAACTGAGAATGTGAAGAGCTGACAAGCTAAATAGGATAAAAATACTGTTTTGGTTAGTGTCATTTCTTCAGTGTGAGCTTTCTTTTCCAGATAACCTGGAGCAAACTGCTGGTTTGCCATAGAGCTAATAAAACTGGAGTAGGTGCCCTTTTTTGGTTTTGTTTTGCTTGTTTAGTGACAACTGTTTAGTGACAGCCTGACAAATGACACCTTTCTCTTGCTTGAAATATGTTTGTGCTAGTCTCTTATCCATTCATATGCAACAGAACAAAGGTCTGGCCTGAACACCTTTTCTCTGGAGTCTTTTATGGAAGCAAGTGTGGAGGAAAGTTCATTGCCTTGTGAAGGAATTGCTCTGACCATAGTTTGCAGCGTGCACACTTCAGAGCTTCTGATTTTTTTTCCTTGCAAATGTATTCAGGCCCCAGCATAGCTACCATCAGTAGTGTAGTTGGGGGGGAAAAAAAAAAACACAAAGCAGAAAGCATGATCAGCAAGTCATATGCGTTGTTCTACAGGCAGGCCTTGAAACTTGCCAAATTTGGTAAACCCTTGGGTACACATTAATAAACAAGCTCTGCCAGGGGTCAGAAGGTAATTTGCTTCTTGTGTCAGGTGGACCTCATGATACTTTCATTTCTGTAAAATACATAAAAGATCTTGTCATAAGCACAAACCTCAGCGCTCAGTTCTCAAAGCATGGCTGGGAAGGAAGGGGGCAGAGATCAGCTGGGAAACTTGCACCGATTTCACAGAACTTGTGTCACAGAGAATCATGGACCAGCTGCGGTCAGAAGGCACCTTTGGAGACCACGGAATCCAACCCCCCCTCTCTCAAAGCACAGTCAACTTGCTCAGGGCTGTGTCCAGTTGGGTGCTGAGTATCTCCAGACTTCAAAGGCTGCCTGAGTGCCTCTTCTAGTGTTTGGCCACCTTCAGAATTAAAATGATCTTACTTAACTTTAAATTAAATTTCCTGTATTTCAACTTGTGCCCATTGCCCCTTGTCCTGTCACTGGGTACCACTGAGTAGAACCTGTCTCCATCTGCTTTACTCTTCCCCATCAGGTATTTATATGCAACACTAAGATGCCCCTGAGACTCCTCCAGGCTAAACAGTCCCAGCTCTCAGCCACTCTGGTATGAAAGGTGCTCCAAGCCCTCAATCATCATCACAGCCCTTTGTTGGACCTGCTTCAGTATGTCCATGTCTGCCTTGCACCGGTGAGCCTAGAACTGGACCCAGCACTCCAGCTGTGTCTCACCACAGAGCAGAGGGGATCGATCACCTCCCTTGATCCACCCAGTGCAGCTCAGGGTACCGGCTACCTTCTTTGCTGCAAAGGCATATGCTGCTGCCTCATGGGCAACTTCTTGTGACACCCTGGGATGGCCAAGGCCTTTCTTGTGAAACTGCTCTCCAGCCGATCAGTCCCTGGCACCTCTGAAGCCCCAGACTGGGAGAGCTGCACCCTCCCTCGGGAGCTGGGACTGCACCCAGGGGCGGCTGCTCCACGGGGTGCTGGGGATTGTGCCCTGTAGCACATCACCCTGTCACTCAGCATATGCATGTTGTCCTCAGCAGTCTCCAGGGAATCCAGATGGATGCCTTAGTTTGACATCTGTACTGGGCTTAAGTTGCAAGGCTGTGGTAGCAGGAAGGCTGCAGGCGTGGATTCTGTGAGAAGGCACCAGGAGTTGCCCTCATGTTGGGCAGAGCCAACTCCAGCCAGCTCCAAGCCAGACCCACCACTGGCCAAGGCCGAGCCCATCAGCGATGGTGGTGTCACCTCTGTGAGAACATATTTAAGAAAGGGTAAAAACCCTGTGCAGCAGCAGCTGTGAGAGAGGAGTGAGAATACATGGGAGAAACAGCCCGGCAGGCCCCAAGGTCAGTGAAGAAGGAGGGCGAGGAGGTGCTCCAGCTGCCAAAGCAGATTCCCCTGCAGTCCATGGTGAACACCATGGTGAGGCAGGCTGTCCTGCAGCCCAGGGAGGTCCACGGTGGAGCAGATCCCCACCTGCAGCCCAGGGAGGTCCATGCTGGAGCAGACACCCACCCCGCAGCTCGCGCAGAACCCCACGCCGGAGCGGGTGGACATGTCCTGAAGGAAGCTGCAGCCCACAGAGAGGAGGAGCAGGTTTTCTGGCAGGATTTGTGACCCCGTGGGGGATCCCACACTGGAGCTGATACCTGCAAACTAAGATTGTTAGAAAACAGGTATTTGTGGAATAGAGTTATTAAGATCAATTTAAGATGTTTTAACCATTTAGCAATTGTGCTGCAGAAAAAATACTGATCTTTTGAAGAATAGTCAGAGTAACTGTAGGATAAGGCACTCATAAATAATCTTACCAGAGACGGTTTGGCCTTGGAGCGGCAGGTGCAAAGAAACATAAAGAAGCTGCAAATTAGCAACAAAACCAGACCAGGCTGGCCTTGAAGGACAAGATGTACGTGACCACAGGGCTGAGTTTGCACAGAAGGGTCAACTGGCAAACACCGTGAAGAAGACTACAAGCATTCATCTGAAGACGACCACCCGAAGACTCCAACTGACATGTGCAAGAGACATTAGCATATGCTAAATGAGTTCCCGGAAAAGTTATGGATAAAAATGCAATGAATGATTAAGGTAATATAAATGTTTATTGATTTCATTCTCACACACAGGCATTAGGAGGAGCTCTCCCCCGTGTGGCCGGCGCTGTAATAAAGAATGCCTGCTTTCTAAAACTCCCAAATTGAGTCTTAGAGAGTGAATTAATTACCACTTTCCGGTAACAGAACAGTTTGTGAAGGACCGTGTCCCGCGGGGGGGACCCCACGTTGGAGCACGGGAAGAGTGCGAGGAGGAAGGTGCAGCGGAGAAGAGGCATGACCTGGGAAAAAGGGGAGGAGGTGGTTTTGTTCCGTTTAATTCCTGACTTCCGTACCGCGTTATTAACCGGCGGTCAATTCAATTCCTCTCCCGACGCCGAGCCCCTTTTGCCCGGTAACCGGTGATTAAAGACCTCCCCCCGCCACCCGCGCGGCGCCTCAGGGCCTCAGCGCCGGCCGCGGCCTGGTCCCGGCGGCCGCTCCCCGGGCGCCCGGCAGGGCTCGGCGGGCGGGCCCGGCGGCGGGGGCGGCCCCGCGGCGGGGAGGGCGTCCCAAGGTCGGGGCGGGAGCGGGAGCGGGAGCGGAGCGGAGCGGAGCGGAGCGGCGCGGGGAGGCCCGGCGCTTGCCCGCAGATGGAGTACGACTGGCTGGGCTTCGGCTACGCGGCGCTGGTGGCGGCGGGCGGCGTCGTCGGCTACGCCAAGGCGGGTGGGTGCTGGGGCCGGCGGGGCCGGGGTGGGGGGGTGAGGGCCCCGGCCCCGGGCCCGGCCCCGGCCTCGGCCTACCCTGCTAAAGCCTCGTGGTGCGGGGGGAACGGTGCTCGGCTCAGGCCTGGGAAGTGTCTTACTGATTGAAAAACCCCACTCCAGTATCTTGTTTGTTTTGGGTTTTTTTTTTTTTTTTTTTTTTTTTTTTTGTTTTTTTTTTTTTTTTTTTTAAGGGGAGCATGCGAGTGCTTTCGGTTGTTTGGCAGACGAGCTTTACATGCGTTCTACTGACTGCTTTATCTTTTATTTAAGGCAGTGTCCCTTCTCTAGCTGCTGGCCTTCTCTTTGGTGGCTTAGCAGGACTAGGCGCTTACCAGCAGTCCAGAGACCCAAAGAACGTCTGGCTTTCCCTCGGTAAGTTTGCTCGAGCACCCAAGTCCTCAGCGTTACTGGTAGCAGTGGGAATAGTCACTTTTTTTTTTTTTTTTCCTAGCACATTTTAGCTGATTTGTGCCCTTTTCTTTGTACAAACGTTGTAAGCGGTGGCAGGACCTGCTGCCCACAGCCGGGAGGTGATTGTGTAAGAGCGTGGTACCTGGTTCGAAAACCTAGGTTGCCCTTGTAGCCAGAGTTGGTGTGAAATACTTAGCTCTGCCAGATCTGATACTGTGTTATACTAAAGTAGACACAGGAAATGTACGAGAAAAATGTCAGCTTCTGAAGTAGCGTTTTTGGCCTGTGGTCAATGGAGTAAGCATTTTTGCAGTAGTGACAAGCAGTATGTGGCTTTGTGGAATATTGGTTTGCAGAAGCATTTCAGGAGAGCAGTATGTGTTTCCATGCATCCTACGCTGTGGAAGAAACAGCCTGAAGTATGTAAAAGAAAAGAGGTAACAATCTATTCTTCTTGCTTACAGTATATGGGACAAGAACTGGTGGGTTTAGCTTGCGGTTAACCCTTCAGGTGAAGGAGAAGGATAAAATGGCCATGGAAGATACTGTGAAACACTGGAAGAGGTCAGGTGAACCTCAGGGACTTCCATCACTGCAGGACTTTAATAACTGTTTAAACCACTATCTATCAGGAATTGATCTTGCCTTTGTGCACTAGGTTAGCCTTGGTGACCTCTTGAGGTTCCTTCTAGTTCTGTAACTACACCACAGTATTATTAGTGCTATTATACTGCAGCATTACAGTGCTTTAAAACCTATTTAAAACAACTATTTTAAACCAAGAGGACTTGATCATAGAATGTGCTGAAAGGCTTTATGAAGCCCCTGGTAGGTACTGCAGAGAACTGAACTGCCTTGTCAGTAAGGAATGAGATGTAAAACACAGCTCAATGTGAAGCAAAGTTTCCGTTTGTGAACTGTCCCTTCCACTCTGGCATGTGGTGGGAGTGGCTGCCTATCTCGGGCACAAGTTTTTAGGCAGCTTCCTGGCAGAAAGATGAGCTGCTTGCATGTATCCTGATGTGGTAGGTGGATGTAGTGCTTTCAAGCAGACCTCTTAAAAGTGGTGGTGTGTTCTGGTCTAGTACAACTCATCTGTTCCTCCTCAGCCCTGCTGCAATGTGCAGTCGTGGCTCCTGCTGAGCTTTAGGTTGGTCACAGTACATCACAGGTGGAAATCCAGAAGACCCTTGATGGAATATCTTTAGAATACTTTTTGCCCTGTCTGATGCAAACAGACTTGAAGCTTTGGAGAAAGATATCACCTGCCTTTCTTCTTCAATGAAACAACAGCCCTGTAATTTTTATGTGAATACTGATAGGATTTTTTTCCCCAGACTTAATTTGGAGTAATGTTTAAAATGTTGGTCACTCTTTCAGTTTGATCCCTTACATTGCTTTCTGTTTGCTAATTTGTATTTTCAAGTGGGGTTGGTTTATTTCTAGTTGTAGTATTTAGTGCCACCTTCCAGTTCAGAATGTCACAGAGAAATTGGAACTGTAGTAATACTTGCCTCTCACATAGTGAATTTTGTCACCATCCCAGCTTTCTGTCAGTTTTGAGCCTATCTGTATTTAAGGAGATAATAATTCTTCTGCAAATAAGGAGAAACTGAGGGAGGGTTAGTGATCTGCCCAGAGGATTGGAGGTTGTGGTTGATTAGACAGTAGTCTCAACCCTGATGAGATTACTCGCTTCTACTGAGCAGTGGAACCTGCTTGCCAAAGCTGCTGAGAAGCTTGCAACAGCTTTGTTGTTTAACAAAAATAAGTAGAATGTTTGCATATGCTTCCTTGTGAGAGGGGAGAGGCGTTCCTGTCTGTAGACATAGGCCTGGTTGGTTGGCATGGCTAAATGTCCACGCGTTGTTGCAGTGCTGCGCTGGTGTTTCTGTTTCACATGGTTCTGACTTGGGCTTCTGATTTCAACAGTGGCGTCTGGAACCTTGTCTGCTGTTATGGGAATGAGATTTTACAACTCCAGAAAAGCAATGCCTGGGATAATTGCTGGTGCCAGGTAGTCACCGGTCTTTTGTTCTTGTCTGTATTTTTGAATAAGCATTTTGTTTAACTTATTTATGGTTTATATTGTTTTAAAAATATTACATGGCAAGTTCTGCAAAAAATTAAATCTTCTGGTGGAGTTCAGCTAAATGAAATCATGCCAGTGTTTTCTTCCTTTTTGTTCTTTATGGGATTTTTGCCTCCACCCTTATTTTTTATAACAACTGTTCTGTTCAACAGTTTACTGATGGTTGGACGGCTTGGATTGCAGATCATGGAAAAGCCTCTTAAGCCTTAAGTATGCATCAAGTCACCTGAAGATACGTGATTGAGAAGCCTGAAAATGCAACCGCCTAAAAGTGCTGCACAGAAGTGGAAAAGGCACTGCTGTCTGTGCACTGTATATTTCATATCCTAAGGACTGACATTGAGAGCCCTTGTTATATCTTCCAAAATGGCATTTGTCTTAACATTTTCTGCACTGTAAAGCAGTAAAACATGAGTATAGCATTAGTTTAGCTTCTGGTCCTGCAGCTTGCTGCAGGCAAAGGCCTCTTGGCACTCGGATGCAGACAGTTGCAGGATTGAAGCTTAGATGTACTTTTGGACTTGTCATTCTAAAATCATCTATACTTCTAAAACAAGGGGATAGGAGCTGCCAATTTGTCACTAGTAATTCATACAACAAATGTGCTTATTATGTTACTTCTCCCTTCCCTTGCCAGTTTATCTGGTCATGATGTTTGTCAGTCAGGGACTTTGTTCTTGCAGCACTGTGTTAGAACCTGGTCCCACAAAACACAGAGCAGGCTGTCAAGGTTCTGCTGTAATGCAATGAATGCAAACCCATTACTTGCAATTACATTTAGCTGGGCGCTTTTGCTTACAAGTAATTGGTTGCACTTTTACAGATTATTATTCATAAATCAAAAAAATGCTGTATTGGGTAATGCTGAATTGTAGGCATAGCTCTTGCATTTAATGAGAATTAAAATGTTAATAAACCAACAAATTATTATTACAAACTTTTATGTTCTACACAACTATCTTTTTCTTTAACTGTTCATCTGGATTGATACAGTTTGGTGCCTTTTCCACATAGTGTCTGGATATATTTGTGAACATGAATTGTGTAAATAATCTCTAGTCCAGTCCCTCAGCCTAGTGACTTTAAAATATGAAAATCCCATGAACTGGGGGGAGGTGTAGAGAACAAAAGGATACAGACTGCATATTCAGACAAGTGTTCTATTAAAGCGTCTTTTTTTCTGAGAGGAATCATCTAATTTAGACTTGAAAAATGCTCTATGAAGGACTGAAGGGCTCAATTAATCAGTCTTTGTCCTCAGTTTCCCTCGATGCCTGAAAAAATTCTGAATATAAGCCTGCCATACAGAAATAATCCTGAGAGCTACACATGGATGGTAACGTATCTGTTTTCTGCTCTCATTTAACTTCTGTCCCTTTCTGCACAAGTCCTGAACTTCAACTTCCTCGACTTTTCTTCTTTGGTGGCTGGTACTGGGAGAGACGGAAGCAGTGGGGTTGACCCATTAGATTGCTGAGACTGGGGAGTTGGTCAGAATTTTCTACATCTGAGGCTAGTAGCTCAGCAGGAGGGTGACATCGTGTGCTCTTCCTTGCTTGTCGCAGCAAAACGCAGGGCAGAGCGCTGGCACGGCGGGGGGAGGCGCGGAGCCAGTCCCGTGGCGGTGGCCAGGCTCCGCCAGCAGCGCAGAGCGGTTTGCCCCACGGGTGGCCGCGATGGGGCAGGGCTGGGGCCAGGCCGGGATGTCGAGTCAGACAGGTTGGGATCCAGATCAGCAGGGACGTGGCCGGGCACGGGCACAGGTCTCGGCAGCCCGGCCCCGGGCTTCGCGACTTGGGTCAGAGCTGGCTTGAGCACAGGCAGTGAGGTCTGCGGCGGGGGAATTGTACTGAGGGCACCTGCCCAGAGCCGCCCGCCCGTCATCCTCCTGCAGAGTCCAGCTTCAGGTGCTTGCCCGTATTTGCTTTTCCCTCCGGCCTCCCTGCAGAGAAACAAGGAGCGTGCAGGACAGCAGAGGGCTTGTTTATAAATCATCCTTTTAAGTGCTTAATCCCAGGCCACGGACCCAGTGTTTTGGTGGGTATGTGTCTGAATGTCTTGGCTCTAGCTTGAAGAGGTTAATAAGCAAGACACTGGCATGTAAGGCAATTCTTTTTAAACAGCTCTGCTGGTTATTTGCCTCTTCCTACTGCTTTTGAAGGAGTTATCTTCTGTGGAGGTAAGATGCAAACATAAATGCAGCTCCTGCAATAAACTGAGAACCACAGTTCAGCAGTTTTCTAATTGTACAATACTGGTCTCAAATCAGGTAACTTGCAAATTTGTGTTGCAATTGGCCTTTAATGGAGTGAAGACAATAGAAATCAGGGAATTGGACTGATAAGCTTTTAACTTTAGACCACAGTGTTAAGCTTTGCTGCTGTTTCATGAGGTTTGGAAAGCAGTGGCCTGAACTGAAAACTGCAGGTAGAACTCTTGTTGCCACTTTTTGTGTTGAGGAGAGACAGTAATAATCCAAAGAGAGGAGAGAAAAGCTTTAGTCTTATATACTTTTTACCCCCTGGGAACTTTCAGCATATACTAAATTTCTTAAGCATTAGATGGCATTTCTGCACTAGCAGTTCAAGATGTATCAGTGAATCAGAGTTAAAATGACTGTACAAAAGCCTATCAGCCTTACTGCTGTTCTGTTCTTGCTGTTTGCAAGAACTTCTTAACACTTGTCATGCTTTGATTGTGAACAAGTAAAGGCTGTTACGGTTATGTCAAAGCCATTTCAATGTTCCTTAGCATACAGTAATGGCAGCATGTTTCTTCTAGCCATATTTAGTGCCATAAATAGTACCTATTAATTTTTCTGCTCTAGGTGACTTATAGACATGTGAGCTATGGGCACATTATTAGTTAATTCCTTGAGCAGACTGATTTTTTAACTAAGTCACTGTCATCTTTTACTAGAGATGAATGATTCATTTCTTGTTTTTTAATTATAAAACCAGTACATTTATGCCTGTTATAGAAAGTTTGAGGTTGTCCTTCAGTGCCATAGCCAATTACAGATATCTTCTACAAGATAAATTAAGATGCATTTAAATACCATAGGGACATCTGTTAGTACTAAGGGAATGACAAATACTTAAGCCTAGACCAATGGCATTTGAATTAAACTCTCTAGTGCACTACTAACCAGGTATCCTTACCTCTATATAGCTCTTCCAGTGTTAAAGTGGCATTTCCTCTAGGTGCAGTTTTCAGAACAAAATACTTTTTGGTACAACTGTTTTAGATTAAATTGCTTTCCTGTAACTTAACATAACCCATATAGTATGGCACATTAGGTCAACAACAGGAATTTAAATTTTTATGTGCAGTTATAAAAGCCATACAAATACATTTATTTTTTACAATTCTTAACGCAATCATTAACAGCTTTACATCTTTAAAGAACATAGTCATTTTGTACTTTAAAATGGCAGGTTTAATTTAACTACTATGTCTAAAGCATCTATTCTAAATGCAGTTGTTAACGGAAGTAGCCTAGCTCAACATCCTAAAAACAGTTTATTGTACATTGCAAGGTCCTTTGTGGGATATTACTATAAAACTTAGCATAGAAGCCAGGGAAAGCACTGAATGAACGCATAAACAATGAGGTATTGCATTATTAAAGTTTGTGTATGTTTTCAGGTACCTAAGTTGGCCTTTAAGATGTAAACTTCAAAGACATTGCTTTCTGGAACAGCCCGATATCCTCCCACATGGGGGCTTATTTGACTTCTGTAGTTTAGTTTGATTACCAAAGACATATGGAAACAGGAGTTCACTGATAATTTATGCCTTTCTGACTAATTCACCCTTAAAATGACTGACAGACTGCAGTGATTCAGGCTCATTAAAATGTTACTGGGATGCTCCCTTGACAGGACAGATACAAATCTCTATACATCTTTGGCTGCGATAGAGTTAATTTCTTTCCTAGTAGCTGTTAGTGCTGTGTTTTGGGTTTTGGATGAGAATAATGATGTTTTAGATGGTGCTAAGCGGTGTTTACATTAAGTCAAGGACTTTTCAGCTTCTGGTATCACCCAGCATGAGAAGCTGGGAGGGGACACAACCAGGACAGCTGACCCAACTGGCCAAAGGGATATTCCACACCATATGGTGTCATGCTCAGTATATAAACGAGAGGGAAGGCTGGCCAGGGGCTGCTGCTCGGGAACTGGCTGGGCGTCAGTTGGCAGGTGGTGAGCAATTGCATTGCACATCACTTGTTTTGTGTATTCCAATTCTTTTATCATTATTATTTTCCCTTCCTTTCTGCCTTATTAAAATGTCTTTATCTCAACCCATGAATTTTACTTTTTTTTTTTTTTTTTTTTTCCCCCCAATTATTCTCTCCTCCATCCCACTGGGCTTGGGGAGTGAGCAAACAGCTGTGTGGTGTTTAGCTCCCTGCAGGGTTAACTGCAAATGGTCATAAGGAAGTTGAATCTAATTTTTAGGCTTCACTACAGCTTGGTGAGATAAGTCTAGCAGTCAGTACTTGTTTGGCTGTTCTCCAATATCACTATATCATTCTACAGCCATATACGGGCCAAGTTTTTAGACCTTCTTTGTGTAGTATTTATCAGTGGATTGCTTATGTCCTACTCTAAGGAGTTACGTTCTCAGTGCTACTACAAATACTTGCATACTACAGACCCTAAGTAACTCTTAGGTACAAGTGAGTTCTGAAGTCCTTGTAGGAGAATGTGGTGTTCTTCACAAAGCCCAATCTGTGATTTCACTCTTCTTTCTGGTGAGGAGCCAGCCTAATACCTGAAAGCCCGGTGCTGCTCTGCTTTAGCCCTGCTTCTAGTTCCTTGTGTACTTCAAGCATATGCCCACCGTGGACATTGCACTGGGCGAACAACCATAACAGTTGTTTAAGAGTACAAGGATAGGAGATCCATCTTTAGAAAAACATTGCGTGAAATCTACTTCTCAGTAGTTTTGGCAATATGTATTATACAATACTTCAATAAATCCTACTTATAGCCAGAATTTTACTTGGTATTACATGTATTATACAGGTAGTAGAACACAAGGTCTTTTTTTCTTCTTTACTATTGCATAGTCTTAGGAAAAGTTACAGCAAATAGGCATTTCAGGATTCCAGTGCAGGAGAACTGAAGAGAGCTCACATAATACCTATACAGGATGGCATTTTCTATCTGTTTCCTCCGTATTTGGCCACCCAGTCTGTTCTTCCATGTACTGGCTGAATTGTTGGTGGGCGAGTTAAAATATTCATGTTTTTTGCTGCTGAATTGAAAGCAGGTCCTGGTAACTGAGCATGAGCAGCTTTGGTTTTCCAGGAATAATCTGAAAGGAACAAGAACACAGAATTAATTATGACTCAAAAGGTATTTCACTCCTTTACAGATAAAATGAGAGCTTAAAAATGACTTGTGGTAGTCAAGGATGCTAAGACAGCAGGATGCTTTGGTCTCTGATACGCTGTCTATGCTTGTTTTCAGATAAGGCTGATGTCTCCTATAGCTTGTTTGTCTTATTAGTAATTCTCATGTACTGGATACTTATTTTGCAGCAATCCCTTGAGCAAACATTTGAGACTGAAATTCAGTGGAAAAACTGATGTGTATGTCTACAACTCTGTATCTCCTATTACAAAACTGCTACAGATGGAAGTGTTCATCTCAAATATTTAAAAAAGCATGTAATTATAACATTGCTGAACTTACTAAGACCTGAACAGTCTAGACTGAAGGACAGCTTCTGGAGACTCTCCTGTTCCTTTTGAGATTTTATGCCTTTTATTCCCCTCCTTCTGTGCTGAGGACTCCTGGTGTAGCTGGTGACAAATCTGCTTCATTATCCATTTCCTGTGTCTCTATTGATTTTGTAGGATCTGCTCCAAGTCCATAGGTTTTTTAATCCTTTAATATTGGCATCCACCTGGGCACTGGGAGTAGTACACTACTGTGTTCCTGGTGTTCCTACTCAGATTTCCCCTTTCTGCATTTCAGATAGTTACACTATTTCCTCAAGCTTCATGTAATTAAAGTAACTGCCCTGCTGCAGGGGCCTACAGTTTATTGTTTTCTTCATGTTCATCACGAATTCTGCCATCTTCTCAATACTTTCAAGTCAGTCATTTGGAACCTCTCTTATCCAGACTCCTGCTTATATCTTACCAATGTTTCCTTAGCATTCCTGAAGTATATCCTGCCCCTTCCATTCCTACTTTCATAGTTTAGTCTAATTAGGTATTACTGATACTTTTTTCTTTTTTTGATTTAACTCATGATTTTTTTTTTTTTTGATGCCTATGTATCATTCTGTTTCTTATGGAAAACCACCTATTTTTGGTGGTATTTTTCAACAGTGGGTTGAACCTGTTAAGAAACAGGTAAGGATCAAGACATTTAAAAAAAGGAGGAATCTCAAGAAACTGAAACTGAAGGTCAGGTCTCCACCTCCTTGAAAACTAATACTGTTCCTTTTTATTATAGGCTGGCATTCCCCACCTTTCATCAGCAGTTACAATTCCAGCCTATCCTCTCTTGGCAATGGAGGTCACTTTTCTCAGGTCTTGGCATTTTCTTCAGAGAAGCTGATCTTTTATACTACATTATTTAAATTACAGCATTAAAAAACAGAACAAATGAAGAGAGCAAAAACAATTGAGAGCATAACTTATTTCAGTTTGGATAATATAAAGGAGAGGGTAACCAAAAATGTTAATGTTCAAATATTGACAGATAGGAGATAAAGCCTGCCATTTGCTTCATCCTTACCTTTCTTCCCATGCAAGTCTGCAGAGTTTAGGCTAAATATGAGGGGTTTAAGCAATAGGATTCTTGCTCTTCTCTAAGACATTGAAGAATCTCTTAATTGACCTCCATCTGTCAGCCTTTCTGACTTTTACTACATGGTTTCCGTTTCTAATTACAGATTAACAGTGAATTTATTTCCCTTTGGATCACCATACATAATTCCTTTTCATTCCCCCTATTCACAGCGGTCTAGAGATTGTTGCAGATTTTGTCTTCCTGTGAACTTCTTGATCCACACACTGTGACAAATCAAAACTCTCACTGTTGTGTTTCAGCAGTGAGTTGATAAGATAATGAAGTGCAGCTCCAGCCTCCCCTGGTGGGCTTCTGATCAACTCAGATTCAGAATATGCATACATCTAAATGTATTTTATACACGTGAACCATCTCCTTCCTTCACTCTCTCTCCTCAGAAGTTACTTGCAAGTTCCTAAGGGGAGCAGGTAACTCAAAAGAACAAGTCACCATAAAGACAACATTATTAAGCAGGACCCTATCAGATCGGTCTGCCATAGTCCCTTTAGTTTAACTATTCACAATTAGTTTAGGGCCTTGCTCTTTTCTCTGAACTCACTATAGGAGTGTGCTGTTGGACTTGGACAATGGCTCTAAATCTTCACTCGTAAACCAGTTCCTCCTTCATCCTGAGCACTTTGTTCATCTTCTCTGAATCGAAAACACACCAACAAAGGTCCTCAGAACATCATCTGTACCGTAGAGGATCCAAGGTAACAGTTACATTCAGAACAGATTTCACATTGGTTTTAACTGATGAATGGAACAGTCTTTTAGTGTGTTTGTTAATGTAACATATGGCTATGTCATTACTGTATCATAGCTATTAATAACTGGTCATTTGTACTCTCATTTGGCTTATACCTTCTATAATGTAGCAACATCGAAAGTTTCACTTCATAAGGGACTTTAGTGATATTTCACAGGTACAAGAGCAGTGTCATCTCAGTATCCACAGACTTAGTCAACACAGTGAGATGAAGACACGGTGAAAAACTGCCTTGCATGACCACCACAGAAACCACAGGCCAACTAGACAGGGCCAGCAGATAAGAGAGAAAACAATTTTAATTTACTGCCTATACCATATCTGTAACATTATTTGTGAATTTACTAAGTCACTTGATGAAGGTCTTTGCCTTTTTGAAATTGTTGAGGCCACTGTAAGTGTGGATGAGCATCATTCAGTTGCATTAAGTGACATTAAACTGATGAAAGACCCACACAAGATAGCCCGCCCCAAGCTACATGAAAGTCACTGTCAAGAAAATTCCTCCAAATCTAATATAAAGCTTTTTTTAAATCTTGAATTTATCTATTTTGCATACTTAGGAATGGATACAGTCACCAACTACTACTAGCCCCATACATCATGGATTTGTATTTGTGTTCAGTCTACATGACCATTTACTATAGAGTTGTGGAGTTACATATTTTGACAATTCTGCTTAGCCCTTCACCACAAACAGTGGTTTAGCAAATGGTCCAAACCTTTTAGAATTACAAAAGGTTTGCACCTTTATTTTCTGTTTTACCTAACAGATACTAGTAGCAGTAGTTTCTCTGGCCATCAGGACTGCCTCTAGACACCTACATTCAATTCACTTATGTTAAGCATGATTTATGCCCAAGAACTTTATTCACAAAACTTGAGAAAAACCGTACTAAGGGCTAATAAATATTTTGGGAAGCATAGAAAATTAACATTTTTCTTTGTCTCACATATGTGCGGCAAAAATATGTTTCGTACCTGACCGTTGTCCAGCTGATCCAACTTCTTTTTTATGAAAGGAAGGGATATGTACTCCTGATGGGTTGTAAGCAGCACCACTTACAAAGCCAGGATTTCCTGTTGATATTACAGCATTTTAGTATTTTCAGTTGCATTCAAGTCACTTCAAGATACATCTGCAGTACCACAAGAGTACTAAGTATGAGTGTTCTTTAGAAACTCCCTAGTGCTTGTTTGTTGGGAAAAAAGTATATATATAAATTCTTTGCTTTGTGTATTAGTTGGACCCTTTACAGCACTGAACACACTAAGGTGCAGATCCAGTACATCTGATCTGCAGTTCATCAGGAATAAAGACAACAGAGCAGGATGAACATTTCATTAGTACTTTCATTAAACTTAGACCACATAGAAAAGTTTACACTCAATTTTAGAGAAAGGCAGGATCTTACGTTTTACTGACAGTTACTTGCTTTACTGGAAGTTGGTTTAAGCACTTCAGTATTTGAAAACTGGTGCTCAACATTACTCTTGGGCTCAACACATTCAGCCTAAATCTATATAAAATAATGGAACAAAACTTCTCTTGTGGGAAGTGGTACACCACTTGTTGTGAAGTTGACTTTGCCAATCCCACAGTTAAAGTTTTTTGGTCCAGGTCTTTCTTTAAAGCAGTGCCACCTTTGGGAAGTGGACATAACCATCCTCATTTGGAAACTAAGAAACGGTGTGCATTTACACACAAAATTAGTACTGAAATTATTGTTCAATGGCAGAAGGATCTGTTACAATACTTAAAAGTCCCTGCTCCAAGAAAATTTCTTGCCTTCTTCATGTCTGTCATCACTTGGGATGGTGTTAAGACTGTGCTGGCACAGTGTCCAGAGAAAAATGCTTTTCTGTAGTGGTGTGGTTCTGTATTCAGTAGTAGTAAATTTGTGAACTACCAGGTCGTACCCAGTAGTTTTCATGTGACCTTTATCAAGTGTGAGGATTTTTATGATAGTAATACTCAGCATGGTTTCAATGGTAGTTGCAGTAAAACACACGGTATCTAATTTGACAGTTTTTCCGTCTCCTAATCTCTGGCCTCAGTGGTAACTTCTTGTTTCTCTTCACACAGACACTCTCAGTCCTCTGTGATAATTTCATTGCTCAGAGCAGTGGATCTATAAGCTGCAGAATTGGTCACCTACAAATGCAAAAAGGCACCCTCGGCTAATTACAGCTGTGCTGGGTCATTGCATACCTCCCTGTTGAGGAGCACTAACAAAAAGCATTCAGCTAACTCAGTTTTGCCAGTCTCCTCAAACTGTCACTTCTATCAATTCTGCAAATAGTTGGGTCTCCATGTGGCTTCCCTGTGTCCAGTTGACACCAGTCTCCAGCACAGTAAAGAATGAAGCAAAAGTCCTGGTGAAAAATACAGTTTTAATAAAGTATTCCAACTTATAATACTTCTATAGAGTATTCTAATTTATTATATCTATAATATTCTGACTTTCTTGTAGTCTTTAAGTTGTTCTTCTTTTTCAGGAATTTGCCTGAAAAACAAAACAACACAGTTTCAGTGGTTCGTTCACCTGCCAATGCACATACACATATTTTGTTATTCCCCCAGTTCCTAATTATTTCACTGGGAGTGGTTCATAGCTCTGACAGCTCAGTAGCATTCCTTAAAATTCTGAGGTCTGAAAATACGAACACAACAGGCCTCAATTAATACAAACTCAAAAAGACAACTTCTCTGTGCTTCTTATCTACAGCTCAGCAAAGCTGCCCATCTGTCAAAAATTGCTCAACCATTTTTTGGTTTTCCTTACCTCATCATGTCCAGGGTTGTCCTTCATGAACCCTTCTGCACGAAATGGGAGAGTGCAGCCAGGAGGAACTGTCTGGTTAAAACAGCAGTCTGGAGGGGCGATCTTTTGTTGGATGAGAACAAGGGAAGGAAGCAAAAAAAAGTTGAGTATAAAATAATAGAATAACTACAAATAAAAATCCTATTAAAAAGCACAGTTCCTCACCTTTGACCACTGCAGTACGAAAGAAGGGGTTCTTGCTATAGAAGTATTCATCCATCAGGCATCCGGAAAGTCTGGCAGCAGGGGTATAGGCAAGCACTCGTGGCCATGATGTCAGCAAGTGTAAGCGTGGTCCAGGGCATAACCCCTACCTCAAACACCACATACCCGATTCTTCATAAGGGATAAAGTCATTGAATCGTATGAGCTGGGTAGTGAGTTCAAACAGCCCTATGAATAGTTGCAATGAGACGTTTCACACAGGCAGTAAGCAGCAGAGGGGCCAGAAACTGGGCAGGAGGTGAAACATTCCAGCAGCTTTACAATGCTTGCAGCCGAACTAGGCTGCCTGGAAACCCCAGTTTCCACCCTCTTACACTACAGTAATTCCAGCACAATCTATACAATCGCAGTGCTGTAAAGTCAGTCTAACAGAGAGAAAATTGGAATGCAGTCAACGGTGCAAGTCCAGGGTGCTGTTACGAACAAGCAGTCCTTCAGGAGAGATGCACATGCTGCTTCTTTACGAACTTTCTTCACCATTATCCAGCAACAGTGCAGCAGCATACTGTGGATTATAATTGGGGTAGTAAAATACTCTCTGTCTTTTAAAGCACACTAAATGTCAAGAGTCAAGAATAAGTCACAATGAAGACAGGAAGGCTTGACAAAACACAACTGAAAATGAAGTATATGATCATCTGGAATCTGCATTATAAGTGCTATTTTTACATGAAAATGTAAAACATAATTAGGAAGTCTGCAAAGAATCCATCTATAATTGCTACAAATTACCTTTTGGGTCCTCTAACTTTTCATTCAACCTTTCTTTGCATGATAGCTTTTCAATAGGTATAATTAAGTTCTCATCTGTAGACAAGGAAAAGGAAAGGAAGAAAAAGATGGAAAGACAGAACTTTAGAAAAAGTGTATGAAGAATCTGGCTAGGTGATGTAAAAGAAATGAGGGAAAACAAAGCAAGAAAGAATAAATATCTGACATTTTTGTAACTATAATGTTTCATTCCTGTCTTCTCAAGCAGGAAATGTTACTCTAACAAGTTACCTTACAAGGTCCTTTCTATTAATGGAATAAAAATGTGATTTACCAACAGTGCAATCACATTCCAGTCATACATAAATCACAAGTTTAAGCACTCAGGTGTATCTGAAAAATCTACTAATCATAACCTTGCAATTCTTCATAAATAAAGCATTTATGTGTGTCTGTATTAAATGTTGTGGCCTCCCCAGTATATGAAACATCACATGCAATGTAAGATACTGATAGAAGTAACACCAAGTATTTTCAAACATACAAAATAATGTTTTAAATTTTTTTCTTTAAACTTTTGGTAGATACCCAAAGTAAGCCAGTAAGACAAAGGCAGGATTTTTACCATTAGCAGTCATCTTAATTTTCAGTGCAATTCAGTAGATGTCTAGCTTATTGATGCATACATTTGGAAAAAGCTCTTTGTCTGTTTGTGCCTAATTCCCCTGCAAGACTATTTTATGAATACATTAATTAATGCTGAGGCACCCAGATACTATCTTTTGTAAACCAAAAGGTATATACAGTGATTGCTTAAAGAAGTCTGTTCTATTCCATCAAAATTCTGGTAGGTGCTGTTATTTTTCCACTTCCTAAAATCTTTCACATCATTTCACATGAACAACTTACAGCTCACCTGACTTTCAGAGGGAAAATCAGGATTGTTGACACTGCAGAATGGCCACTAAAGTTCTCTTAAAAAGGGGTGCGGCATCTGTATGTAAACAAACCTTCTGAAGTTCTTTCTGTACAAGCATGTGATGCTAGGTGTTTTATTGGCATTAAAGTATTTGTGAGTGACTCATGCTAGCTGGACAATGGCTGCGAAATCGTTAACAAGGTAACCTCGCATACCAGGGTAATGGGACTGTGTACTTAAGGTATAGGGCTTGGTAGTCAGAAGATAGATTTTAGTCTTGAGTCTCACGCTTTCCTCAGTGAAATCTTAGATAAGCTGTTTAACTTGTCCTGGTCTTCACTCTATAAAATGCTAGTAATAATGTTCTTCACAAAACATAGTACCAGAAGCACCTTACTGAAAGTTTCTTGCTGAAAATAAGGGGACTTTTCATGCAGTAAAATATTCAGGAAAGGCTAGTAGATTGTTAAAAGACATGTTTAGAATATCTGGCTGTATGTTTATTACATGAGCACACCACCCACCATCTTGTTGTCATATGTGAGACTGCTGTTTGATAGTGTTCCACAGCACGCTGACCAAGCGGTAATGAGGTCAAACTATTTGCTTAAATTAACACAGTAAAATAATGGTCTAAGGGGATTACAGACAAAATTTATCTTGACAGAACTTTCTAATAGGGGCTGGTCTATATTTCCTTCATGCTCTGAAAGCAAAATACATAGTTTACATATGAAGAAGCTGTTATTTTAACATCTGTTGTTAAAATAAGAAAAAAAAATGTTAGCCTGGAAGCTAAGCCTGACAACAGAAGTTAAACCAGATGGTCTTAACTAAATTGCTTAAATAAAGTATGATAAGCTATAGTGTGACCACTTTTAATTACACTTTTTTTTACCTGTAGTATTTTTATTGAAAGTCACTCCTCCTCCAGTATGTGCCAGTGGTTTAGAAAACAACTGATTGTTCCAGGTTCCATGTGATCCTTCCTTATTGACTGATATGAAAGAGACACTCTTAGGGTTTACACCTTAGAAAACAAAGTATGGAAAGTGTTATAAATATCAATATTCAAACATAGTTCAACCAATGAAAAATGGGCATTTCTAGAACAGTAAAACAACACTGAATTATTTGCAGTATAATGTAAACGCCACTAATGTAAAAGAACAACATCCATTGATGAGGTTAGATTTTTCAGCCCAACAATGAAAACTAGAGGCACTGATTTCAGACCAATTCTCTTAATGCTTTCAAGAGAGCTTCTAAAAGTCTTTTTGGTACAGCTGTTTGGTTTCTGTAAAGCCACGATCTCGGTATTGATAATTTTGACTCTCAAACAGTTAACACAAATTACAAATACCTATCAAACACCAGGCTTTTCAAGGCTGAGAAGGAACTGTTTCTTCAAGGTATAAGGGCAAAGAAGTTCTTGTTACTTCAGCATGTTATGAGCATTACAAGAGTTAATGGGATTACACAGCATGAAAGCAGCACCCAGATCTAGTGGTATCAGAACTAAAGTAATAGGGCTAAATAACAAGTGGGATCCTTGGAGCTATTATTCTCTTAAATGCTGGAATTATGTATTTATCAATGACTTTCTCATTGAAAGCTCTACTAAAACCAGAGACGTTAGAAGCATGTTTAAAAAAAGGTAAGAAATACAGATGAACTTTCCATCTGTGTTACTTTTAGATAGGGAAGCTCCCCCCCCCCCTTTTTTTTTCTTTTGGATTTAAACAGTTGAGTCTCTGGACATCCTATTTAACATCCAAGAAGTGATTTCATACTCAGAAGTCATCACTGGCCTAACGAATTCCAGAGAAAGTAGTGATACATTGTAACAAAACAACTTGGCAGACAACCAGAAATTCATCTGTGAGCCACCTAAATTCTCATGTGTGGATTATGGGAGAAATCATGATACACTTAACTGTAATTGTGCAAACCATCATGATAATAAAGATACTGAGACACCAAAGAAATTGTCTGATTATAGAATATATTCAGAATACTAACTGAAGGAAACATTCTTTTTTCTTTCTCCTCCTTCCCATTCTTATTCCTAGCAATTACAACATTTCAATGTTATTCTCCTGATAAAACCACCCAGATTTTGACTAAGGTATTTGTTTTTAAGGAGGATGACCACCTTGGGAAGGGCGTGAATTCCTACCAGTGCAAGTGGCTGATATTTCTAAACACCCCCTACCAAGAAGAGTAACTGTGCTTATCAGAACCTTAGGTTAAAAAACTCCCAAACCTCCTGACACTGCAAAACTGAGAACTATACAATATATATATATATATACGAGTAGATTCTTTAGTCCTCACACAGATACATCTGCTTACGGGTCAATCAGGACATACTCCTAGAAATCCAAGAGATGTTGGATTCATAATACTGAGGGTTTTATGGTCATAAGAGGGCCTGTGAACTTTTATGGTGTACAAGCAGTGTTGAGCTCCCTTCCACGTTTACATAGCCAGGAACTTCTGCATCAACTGCGATGAGATATGTTCTGGGAAAGGCATATAATCCAAAACTTGAAAATTTAGCCTGGTTATGAAAAACAAAATTATCTAGTGTGAAATCTAAAGTTTAAAGGGACTTTACGTAGATTGTTTACAGCTTGTCTTTTCCATATGTATTGACTTTTACCCTTACCAGGTAGGTATCTCGATTGCCTTAGATAGTATTGTTTTGCGGATGTATTTGATCTTCCAGAATCATTTCTCATCAGAACCTTATTTTCCCCTCCTGGCTGGATACAGCATGAAGCTTTTGGTTCTGGCACACTGAAAAATCAAAATGTTCAAACAATGTGACCAACAACTCCAGCTCAGAATACCACATGGTGACCCCAGCCTGACGAGTACAGTGCTCTTCTCTTATTTTGCTTTCACTGGTAGAATTTATTCTGACAAAGTAACAGCCAAATCTCATATCTCATGAAAGTTTGATATGGGACTTTGAAGAAAAAAGTGTATCCAACACCATGGAATAAAAGCAAACGTGGATAACTGTGGCAGGACTTAGTAGCAAACTTAACAACAAAGGAAATTAAGTTAGTATACCTGATTTTAGTAAAACACAATTTCTTAATAACATGACAAACAGCTAAACCATACAGTGCCTGAAAACAAATTTGATTTAGTTTGGATATTACTGGTGCTATCTCAACACCACACCCAAAGCTGGTCTGCTCATACAGCCCTCTGCATTCTTGCAGAATTTTGGTGACTTAAATTTTTAGCAGATTTGTCTTAATCAATCTAAAGAGCTACTGGACGCTGTTTTTTTTTAAAAAAAAGGTGATTTTTTAATTATAGAACTTACCTAAAAAGACATTCCTTGTTTTTCTTTTCTTTTAACAGTGCAATGCTAGGCTTCTTTGAACATGACATTCCAAATTCAGTGTCATCCAATTCATCCCAGCTATCTACGGCCTTTACCAAAGTTTGACCCCATCGTCTTCTGCAGCTTTTAGGACCTACTGCACCATTCTGAGAGCCACTAGCTGCTTGTTTCTATTTAAAACAAGGAAAAAAAAGCTTCAATTTAATTCTAAAATTTTGTATTTTGTATCTAGTTCACTTCCTGACTACCGCTTAAGAACTCTGAATGAATTTTTCCCATTGTGCTGTGCCTATTTTAGTCATTCAGAATGATTTTGAGCACAAAACTTAATAATGCTGGTAGGTATTTTGAGTATCGCTCTTCTGGACTGTCATCCTTAAACTGCTCAAACCTATTTGAAGCAGTAAAGTTAATACTCCGTTTGCAGACCCAATTCAGTGCTCAGCCTCTACTACTGGTATCTTGCTGAATTCATGCTCTCAACAGTGGTAGATGAACTGTCAAGAAGTAGGGCACAGTGGTACAGAACATGCATGTCAATCATGCTCAGGTTTTAAGAGAGCCATTTGCTGTGGCCCCAAAGTAAATACAACAAATAAGTTAGTAAGGCCTTTCCTTAACATTGTCTTCCAAATAAATTATTAGATTTTAAAATGGCTCTTTCATCTAACTCTAGTTTGCTTTCCGGTATTTTCTGAATACCTATTATTTTTAACATACTTTATATTGTAGTTCAGTGAGTATAAGTAGAAAACAAAATGAAGATTACAAACAGAAGTTTAATATTCATCTTGCTAAAAGTATTACTTGTTAAATTCTTATAAGCTTAGAATTTGGATGAGCTTTCTCAGGTATTTTCCTGCTTCAGGCAAGTGAAGTTCTTCCTTGATACTTCTCTATTGTGTACTAACAACACTTTTGTGAATTGTTTCTTAGAGGTCAATAAACAATAACTGTTGTAACTACATTACTGCCTAAGCATGTCAGTAAAGGCTATTATAAACAAACACACGTTGTTGTTACAAGCAATCTACTCTTCTGGTTTGCTGTAAAATTTCAATTAGTGGCCAGTTATATCCTTAATTAGTCCCCAGTTATCTATCTGTATTTCCTCTAATAAAAAGTGTAACAATTTTCAAGGAATCGTCTGGTTGAATATAGTAAGAACTTTTAATAAAACCACCAAGTATTTATTGAAGACAACTTACTAGCGGTGAATTTTTATCAATAGTTGGAAAAAATGGTTGTTCCTGCGGCTGCTGCTGTTTTGGTACTTGCTGGTTAGCTGTATTCTGAGGCAACTGAATTTGCTGAAGAGGCTGGTGGTTAACCTTTGACAGGGTCTGTGGCTGTGTTTTGTCAGGTACATCAGGTGAAGACAGAGGCTCTGGCCTGGATATAGCTTCCAGTTTAGGTAAAGCTGGCTTTGGCTCTGTTGGCTGAACTGGTTTAATGCGAGTCTGCTTCTCCAGATACTGTGGCGGAGGTCCTAAAACTTGGCCAACTTGAAAGTAAGGGTACTTCAAAGCCTGGAGAAGAAGATATAACGTACTAATTTTACTTCAAAAAGTTGACTTTGGTAACCTCATCAAGGATCTAAGCAGGTTTCTTAAGCGTTTGAGCAAGCTCTACAGCACAGATGCAAGATGGATGCCTAATGAGATCATATGTAAAGAGTGTGTATTGGTAACTGCCAGTTTTGTATTTTAAACCCATCCCATCATATCATTTAGTAAGATGGATCCACCTGTACATGTTACAGCAGTCATGTCCTTTCTTTCTTCTAGGTTTTGTGCAGTCTGTGTTTTGAGGTGCATTTTACATTCAACACAATTCTATACTCATGCAGTAACAAATTTCAATCTTAGAACAGGTAGCCTCCACATGCTTTATTACATTTCTACTGCTAACTATATTTTGGCAACTTGATGAACAGCTTGGTTTTTTATTAAAAAAAAAAAAACAAAAAAAAAACCAAAAAACCAAAAAAACCAAACCAACAAACTAACCAACCAAAAAACCCCCCAAATCAGAAGAGTGATGACTGCCATTTAATATTAATGTATAGGTTTTACAATTAGAAGATGTTAATGAGCAAAGTTTCTCCTTCATTTTCTTATCAGCAGCTTTCCCTTTTTGTTTTGCTTTGAAGCACACTCACTGTGCTTGCTGTGTCTCCGTGGTGCTTATTATGAAGCTACAGTGTCCGTCTTCTGGCAGATGTGTATTTAATTCTTTTCTCTGACCTTTTCGTGTCCACTGCTAGACAACACAGCATGGACGTACCTTACTAACACAGCTCCTCCTATGTCAAAACAACACACACTGCTACTCTTCTGGGTAGGATCCTACTCTTTGTTAGTTCTCAAAGAGATGTTTTGCCTCAGCTGCACTTGAAAATTGCTGCCTTTGTACACATTTACATGTATATGCATTAAACTCTCCATTTTGGCTGTGGATTACAAATCTGCTGCAGCTGCTTCCTTGACAACTCACTTTGGCAAAAGCTGGTTATTTGCTTTCATAAAGCACCATGCAGTATGCTGTGTAGAGATATATAGCACTGGACTACAGTTAGAGCTCAGTGGCTATAACAATAGATATGCTTTATAAAGTGGAGAGAAATGGTTGCTCTGCTTGGTACCATCTGCTTAACCACTTCTGAATCACTTACATTACATCCACCTAGGACAACCCACAATATGTCCTTTTTCTTTCCCAATTGTATTCCCTTTTAATACTTTCTAAATAGGATTGCATTAGGTATGAATACTATAAAAAATAATTTTAAAACATATTTCAAGGACTAGAGATGGTTACATTCTAGTGCTTTATTTTTTAAATTAACTTGGAGAAAAACTATGACCTTTGTGACCTGTTGGTATGTTCTTCACAAAGTTCTTTCCTTATCACTTAGTACAGTTTATGTCCCATTTCCAAGTTAAAACAATCCTAAGCTCTTCCATACTGCATTCCATCTGCAGCTTCACAAAAAACAAAGCTTAATTTTCCATATCCTCCTTCATACAGATGGGGGAGGAAAAAGAAGGTGGCAGAAGTGACTTACTGTTACAATTCAGGAAACTTGCAGCTCAGATTTTTCTCTATCCTGTACAGAGAAGGTTTGAGAAGATGCCAATACAGAAGATAACATTGCAGAAATAACTAAAGAGTTTATAATGTCTGCTGAGACAGGTTTAGAACTTTCTCTTTTCACTACTTGGTCTTGTTCCTACCCAAGTGTTCAAAGCGAGGAAACATTTCTCTGGCCATCAGTATTATGACAATCAATTGGTTTCTCTATCTATAATTTTTTAACAATGCAAGAAAATTCAGTCTTATACTTAATCATGCAGGTGCTCACACCTGACTTGCTGTAGGTCTCTTCTTTGGATTCCAGTTCAGCATATCACTCATAAGCTGTATTGCTTCACTGCTTGCATTTGGGATGAGACATTTTAGGCTTATAGGGACACATTGTGGGAAACGGAAACTCATGGCAGAAGCAAGATGGTATCCTTCTGGCCACTCACTCTGTTTCAAAGGAAAGAAAAATTAGTACCAAAAGAGGACAAAGACTATATAACTTTCAGATATTAGACCAAATTTAATTTTATGCAGCTTGAATCATGCTTGATCTGCATAGCTACCTCCTATATAGTGGAAAACAGGCACTCCTATTTTCCATTACAATTATTACATCAGTGAATTCAGCATCAGTCTCCAGTGGCAGTCCTCAAAATCTCCTGTAGGTAAAAGTGGAACCATCATTGTGGATACCATACTTGGACATATTCTATCTGAATGAGAACAGAATGCAGCAGTACCAGGATCAGTATTGAACATCCCATCTACCACAGAATAAGCTCAAACAGCTGACCTCAACATACCTTCTTTATGGGAATAGTAGAGGTGAGGGACTTCCACACAGCATATCACAGTTGTGTAACCATGATTCAGCCTATACAATATACTACTGATTCTGTCGTTAGGATAGTCAATGATCAAATTACAACTAGACACTACTGCAACAGAAAAAAGCCATGATCACCAGATGAAAACTTTTTTTTTTGAGTGTTCAACTTTCCAGTAGTAAACCCTGAAGTCCGCTGTTGCTTGATAATTGCTCTGCTCCAGTACAGAACCACAGGATTATCAAAGACCTCAAGAGATCATCTAGTCCATGTCCTCATCCCTTCCTGACAGGTGTTAGTCTCAAAAAGTTTCCAGTTTCTGGAATTTCACAATTGATCTAAAAATCCTATTTCAGAGCTTAAGTCTCTTCAAGATTAGAGACCACTGCTGAGGGTGCTACCATCCATGGATACCAAGGACTACTTTCTTCTCTCTAGAACAGCCTTTTTATAAGTTAAAAGATGTATTTCTTCTCCTGTCTTCCAGTCTTCTTTTGTATAGCCTAAAGAAACCCAAACAATTGAATTCCTGGGTCTAGGCTTTTTAAGTTTTTCTTCTTCTCTGGACTCTGTTTTTTCTCTCTTGAAAGGCAAAACTTTAAAGTGGATATAATATAGCAAGTTGAACAGAAAGATTAATTCATATGTCAGTGGACAATACTTCTTTCTCTACTCACTGATATGGTATTTGTCTCTGTTGTAACAAAATATTGTTGATACACAATGCATTCTATAGCTCCTACATCCTCTTCCACAGATGTGTTAGCTGGATAGTTATCCCAAAATATTTATGCAGCTGATTATTCCTGCCTAAGTACAGAACTCTACACACTACTAAAGAAACTTTTTTAAAGCTACATCTCTAATTTTATACAGAAATTCTGAATTCTAATCTTGTCTTCTAGCATACTCAATCCTTACCAGCCTATCCACCAACTTAAGAATGAAAATCTATTCCATCAGAAGACCTTTAATACAATTTTAAAATTTAATCAGATGCAGAACCATTCAAGAGTCCTGTTCAATCTGTCTTTCATTTTGAATGTGAACCAGTAAAGCTTACTCTCTGAATAAGGCCTCAAAACAGGTATGAACTATTCATGCAATTTGTTTATATAAATATGCTGATGAAAACATTATGAGGGACAGTGTCAAAAACCTTACTGCAGACAATGTATGATATCAGTGTTTCTCCTTTATCCACAAAGCTTGTTACACTGCTATAGGAGTAAATTAGATTGATTTGATAGAATTTGGTCTTAAGGTACCATGTTAGCTATTACACTTCTTATGCACAACACTTTTAGCTCTGTTAACACAGTCTATGGTAATCAAAGAACTCAAATATAATTATAAACCAAGTCTGGTTAAAATAAGTCTCAAGACTTCAGCTGACTTCTTATTCCACCTCAGAGAATAATCTGTTCATTTAAATTAATGGAGGTAGACCATTTCCTCCTCTGCTGCATCTCCCTCCTTTATTGGAGTTGGTGACATTCTGTCTGCCAGAGGTAGTGATAAAGGAACGATTTAGAATGAAGTAGCAAGGGCTGGGTGTTAAACTGGTGAAGTATAGGAATACAGTGAAAATAGCGTAAGTGCAAAAATTAAAAATTTATAAAAAAAATTAATTTGTAATTATTTAAAGTGCCACTGGCAACCTTCAACTGATGAAAATGTATTTAATTAATATCTCCTTTTCAGATCATCATCAGCTTTTTCATTAAATTGGCATACAAGTGCACCATCACTGCCAGTACTTGAACAGTGCAACTTACCACTTTATTTATTTTGTAAATAAAGCAACTTAATTCATAAAATAAAGCAAAATAGTTGCATGTCACTATCTAAAAAGTATAAACTCACAGAAGTCATTAGTATGGTATTATGGACTTAAGGGAAGGCAAATTGGAATGAAGATAGCTTCTGGGCACAATTCCTGTAGTTCCTTATTGCAGGATAATGGAATAAATGAACATGTATATCTGAAAAAAAATACTATTTGTAAAACTATCTGCAAAATCAGACTATTAAAATAATTTTAAAGTCTTTCAGAATGCAGAACAGTACTTCACTTGTAACAAATGCATCATTTGCTGTGACAATTCCTATCATAATATTTAAGTACTCTTTTTACACAGTGATCTCCCTGAAGAATGCCTTAGCATCATTGTAAAGGAGATAAAATTCCCAAATCTGCCCAGCAGATGACAGAGACACAAATGAACTAATTTCAGCTTCCAGATCCTAGAGGGCTGATTTACAGTGTCTCTAACTCTTAGGGTCTTTAGAAGAAGATCCTAGAGGGCTGATTTACAGTGTCTGTAACCCTTAGAGTCTTTAGAAGACACTACAGTTTTCTCTGAAATACTCAGCTAGTAATACTCCCTGATTTCCCAAGCAATCAGCTTGTTAGTCAAGGAATGACAGGGTGTGAACAGTCATGATTTGCTTCTGTTCAGCTACTTTTAAGGTTAGAGAAAAACCACAGCAGTCAGCTCAGTGCTGCTCTGCTACTACGCACAGTGATAATCTCTCTCTGATCTCCCTGCACTTCCAGAACTACTTATGCTATACCTTGAAAATGTTCCAGAAGCTAGCATGTTGCTCTCTTTCACAAATATTCTTATTATACGTCAAAATGTTCTTACTATCCTAAACTTGTAAGCTGCTTAAGAAACTTAACATTTATGCTTGAAAACTCAAGTCTTAAAAATACCGCTCATATTAGATGTTATTTCTGATGCACAACTGTCATAGCAAGCACTATTTTGCAAATCATAGCAATTTCCACTTAGCCCTTTAGACTTGATTTTCACTTCCACAACATACCATCTATAACTCTCCACCTCTGACCTTTTACTCTCTGCTCTGTCATGAGTTTGCACCTGTTTCTCAGTATGTTATCTTGGATGTTTTCCCACTCCAAGCTCTGCATGTTCCTAGCTAAACTTATTCTATTCAAGTTTTCTGTTGCTCACTTCTCTATTGATAACAGCTCCTTTACTGGACAAGAATTATGCTATATTTTGTATCAGCAGAACACTAATGAAATTGATGTTTTTCTTTCCCACCCGTAGGTCTTCTAGCTCTAGAGACTATTCAGCCAGTAATTTCACCAAGTTCTGTTTGCACCTATAAAGTACCAATATATGCCTGCCATCTCTTATTTTCCCCCCAAAATTTATACTATATGGTCTTTTTTCAGTTTATTCAAAATTTTTAAGGTAACCTTTTTCTTTTCTTGCATGTCCATATATCCATCTGCTAAAACAACTTTTTAATTGAAGTAAATATAATTGCATACATTTTTATATGTACTACCTAAACCTTCCTTGTAATTTAAAATATTTAACTACTTAGCCCGTCCAGAAAGTAATTGTTTCCTCTCCAAAATACCGCACATTTTTCCTCCATTACTTTTTATTGCTAATAATATTTTGAGATATCTGTGTTTGAGAACAAATGTTTCCTTTATGCTTTAAAAATAGGAAAAAAAATATTTGTCTTATTTATGGTATCTTCTACAAGCTCCATATTCTGGATGCCAGCCTAGAATATTTATACTTTAAGGAAAGGAAAGCAAATTGGCTGTGGCAAAATGAAATCCTAGGCTTCTGATTTTCTTTACAATATCCATAGCTTTCAATAACTAAATTAAACAATTTTATCCAGCTTTCATCAGAAGAGAGCAAGGCTACACATAATGGTATGATACACAACAGATGCTAATATACCACAAAAGACTAGCATTACATGCCATAACGGAAGCTTAAAAGAAATGCAGCTAAGAAAATCTTAAGTCTGCAGGAAACTTCTTCTACCAATAATTTATACTTATGTTCTAAAAGAGAGATAAACATTCAATGTTTTATAATAATTATTTAACTTTTTTTTTTTATATACAATTGTGTGAGTTTTATGAAGTCTTACCTTCTTTGGAGTCCCTAATACTTGGCAAATTTTGAAGATTTCATCTACTTCACTTGTGCCTGGGAAAAGAGGTCTTAATGTGTATAATTCAGCCATTATGCTACCAACTGCCCACATATCAATAGGTGAACTATAAATAGATGATCTTAGCAAAACTTCAGGAGCACGGTACCTATGAGGATGCAAAGAAATAACAGATAAATGAAAATGTTAAGAGAGGTAATTAGTTAAGATAATGTATTAACTTCTTAATACACTTACCACCTGGTAGAAACATAGTCTGTATAAGGTGGCTGAGATCTTAGTTCTCTAGCCAAACCAAAATCTGCTATTTTCACAAGTTCTGGTCCAATACAGAGAAGATTTTCAGGCTTCATATCCCTATGAAAAAATCCTATAGAAGACCAGACAGAAAAGAATGGCAAATTATTGTGTCATCACTTCTTAGAATAGCAACCTCTAACAGAGTAATCAAAAATTTATTTGAGGATGTTTTGAAAGAAAATAGCTTTTTTTTTTTTTAGTAATTCAACATAAAAAGATGGTAACCCTCCCCCCAACAAGCACACACAATTTTTCCTCCAGTGATTATTACACCAAGTGTTCTTGAATTAACAAATGTAAACTATCATTAACACACTAAGGAAAATGAATTGGTTATTGCAGCAATATCAAATAACAAACCAATTTCAGAATGAAATATTTGCAAAGACAACTACTGCTTTGTCACTGGTAACAAAAACTTGAGCACTTGACACACTCAATTTATAAAATTCCTTGAACACTTTTTAAACTATTTATCATTGTGACAACAATTCGCAGATGCAGGCATATAAAAGATATGAAAGTCCTGCTCAGGAATGTTAATATTAATAATGCAGGCACATAAAGTTTCTTTAATGCTTGCTGTTGGCTTGAGCACCTATATACCTGGACAGCGGTTAAGTCACTAAGCAAATAATTTCTACTGTTTAATTGGTACACACAATTTCTTATAGTGTAAATCAATTTGATTAAATTCACTTGCTGCAATAAAGCATTTGATTTCTGCATGCAGGAACTGACAGCCATTGTAATAAACTGGCTGAAATTATTACAGTGAAATGTAAGCGTTCAAATTTATCATACCTGTCATTCCCAAACACTTAAAGCAAAACCAAAATATTAATATTGTAACTTAGAAATGGCAGTTTTTCTTAAATTCAAATTTTCTCATTTATTTCATGTGGAAATGAGGAAGAGGATGCTAATAATCAGAAAACAGTATGTGATCTTGATCAGAAAGACATGAAATGGCAATTTCTGGGTATTTGGTAATACTGAACAAAACTAATTATTTATTTGAATTCATCAGCAGGCGTCAGCAGGGTACATGAAAGCCAATCAGAGATCACTGGGAATACTGTTTCTTATTTCATTTTCAGCTAATATTTTACTGTCTTTGGAGAGTTTTAAGGATACCAATATGATATGAAGGACAAGTACAAAATAAAAAGACTTGAGCAAGAGAGTAAACTACTACTTTTTTTAAATGTGAAGGAGCTTAATACCAGTATTTCAGAATGCAGTTTGTGCACAGATATTAAACATCAGCATTAAAAGTTTTGTAAATGCTGTGAAACCTTTTGTTGTCAGCATGCAGCACCTCTTATTTAGACTGTGCTTATAATTCCTAGAAAAGTCCCATCTCTTGAAATACTTAAATACAGGTTGCATTTGATAAGGAGACTGTTTGGATTTCTTAGTGAACAAGTTACTTTAATATTTTTTTACATGTATGGTATCATATTAATTATAGTACCTCAAGACAAGAGAAACTGCCGTCTGTAAAGTATCAATGCTCCTTAAATAGATCTTTCTGATGAAACAGAAATTCATAGTGTAGCACAGCATGCAAGTTACTGTAGTTTATTTATTCATCTGGTAACTAAGGTAGAAAAAAGTACTGAACAGTGTATGAACAAGTGCTTTCAAAAAGAAAGGAAAATCTGATTATAGGAAAGCAAAGTGTAACTTCAAGTATGGTTTAAAAATGCACTATAATTGAAACGGATAATAATTTTTATTAGAGATAATTAATAGCTTTTGCTAGATATTTTTATTCATGTTATTACCATACATTATCTTATTCTCTAAAAAAAGTGTTACACAGTTAAACTCCAGTATGAAACCTACCGTGTTTATGGATAAAAGCTAGCCCTTGTAATATCTGATACATCATGTTTCTGATGACTGACTCAGGGAACAACTTGTTTCTGTGAAGAAACAGATCAACAACTTTACATAATCAAAAAAAAAAAAAGTATTTTCAGAACATTTGTGTTTCTTCATTTTGCACAACACATCATGAACAGAAGAAAACAGACCCACCAAGTCTGGTGCACAAAGGAGGATAGATGCACCTAGTTCTCATCCCAAAGCTTGCTTGCTTCCAGGCCTTAATTTCACTTACTGCTGCAAAGGGACTCCTCTGCAGAAGGGTTCATGATCCAATCTCTCTATAGAAGCTGGCTGGCCAGTAGTGTGCTTGACCAGATGAATATGTTATGCACAGTAATGTAGCAAGGAAGACACTGCACAGTGCAGCACTGCGGGAGGTGTGTTACCCAGGGGAACTGTTGAGAGCAATGGCCTCAGCTGCAGGGTAACGCTGTGCTAACACCGCTAGTGGCTATCCCAGGATGCCATAAAGGTGCATAACGATGTCTGAAGGAAACACACACTGAAGGCAAAATGTTATTGAAAAGGAAGGTCCTATTCCAAAGTCCACTGCTTGTCCAAGATTGCAACATCACACAGTTAGTCCATATAGGTCTGTCTTACGAGCATGCGTGCATGTACATGCAGATGACCATCCCCACTTTAACCCAAACTCATGTGCAAAAGCAGAACAAACAGTGTTTATCCGATCCTTCATACATTAAAGTAAAGGCTAATAAAGAAAAAAAAAATTGGAATTTCTCTCATGGCTCTACACACCAAAGACATGCAAACTATCATGTTAGCAACTGAATGAAGTGTTATTTCCAAAAAGCATTACAATATGCAATATTGTAATGCAGAGCAATGCAGAATTCTACCCTCAGATAAGCAGGTGCAGCAACTCCTGTTCACATCAGTGGGGCTGCAAGAAGAGCCAAAACCAGAAATTCCAATGTGTTCTTCAAGACAGCATAAGAATCATTAAATAAAGCATGATAGCACACTATTTGTTCTGTGAAAGAGACATACCTGTCCTTCATTAACTGATAGAGGTTTTCCTTCATGTATTCAAATACAAAGTAAAGGTGGTCATTTTCTCGTATGACTTCTTTCAATTTAATTACATTGGCATGATTTAGCTTCTTCAGAGACTGTAATAGAGCAAAATATGGCTTCAGAGAACTCAGTGATTTCCTATCAGAACTGAATTTTTAACATGTAAAAGTTTCTAGCACAAAATTTACAAAACATATCCATCTGATAGTCCATATTTATCTTGTATTTTGTTTCAAAGAAAAGCAAAATAGCATTTTAAATTAATTTAAAAATAAAAGCAGCAACAATATTAGCAGTAGTTTAAACCTTCTATTTCTAGGGATTACATCACAGCTGGGGTGAGGATTAACACAAAAACCTAATTCCCTACAATGAAAGACAGTTCTGAAGCTGTAACAGCGCTTGTTCATAGAACCGAATAAAAAAACCCAGTAATTTTTTTGTTATGAAACTTCCATGAAGAAGGATTCTCTTACAGGTGTTCTTTTTGGAGATACTGACAATGTGCAATCTCCAATAAATTAAACCTAAATTATGGATACCCAGCTCTTTAGTTACAGAGTTTTGTATATATAGAAAATCAGATGCCTGAAACATGGGATGACTTAGAAATTAAACCCAGGATTTCAAGTGTTATTCTATCATTTGGCTAGTCAAAATTCACAGTGCTTTCCACAAATGCCCCAAATACAAGATATAGGGACTGGATATACACCTAGAAATCCGCCAGTAAAATGAAAGAGCAGGATAGTACAACACAGAAACACACACACTCAGTTTCTTTATCTTCTCACAAAGACCAGAAGCTTGGCTATGAGAGACAGCCACTACTTGAGAATAGTGGGATATTCCACAAAGCAGCAGGAGCTCTAGGAGTGCCAGCAGCTCATGGTTTTGTCCAATCTGTCATCCCCATTTAAAGAGTTCACAGATTTTGGCCTTATGCTTGGAGACTGTAGATGCCCTTTTCATGCTAACCTAAGCGGACACATTTTAAAATGTGGTATGTTCACCACTTTACCTTGACTTCTCTCAAATTCATACATTCATCCCATGAATAGAACTTTCTTTTCATTCTGTAATACAAGTCCAAGATGAAGTATTTTCAGTGAACAGTACAGAATGCTTTTAGAACAAAAAAATCTAAACGTGTTATTTTCCAAGTGTAGCATTGGCTGTGTTTTGAACTCAATTTAAAATATCATAGAATATATATCAGCAACATAATTAAAAACAAACTCAACTCTTACAATTTCTAGAAATTTAAGTGTCTGATCACTAATCACTGCAAACATACTTTTATAGGAGTAACATGAGAGGAGTAACAAAGAGAACATGATACTCCAAGGTATCAGGGACAAAAAATCCCTCTGTATCATTTGAATTGTGCTCTTAATAACAAGGATAGCAACAATGACACTGCACATAAAACACAGATATTTCAAACCAGAAGAATCACCTCTTTGTGCCCAAGTTGCACATTCTAGGAAAACCAGAAAATTTTATTTTTGAAATCCGCAAAGTATCTTGATTGCTTAACATTATAATTAAGCATCTGACTTGATCAGTCATTTTTACAAACCTGTTCCAAGGTATTAAATACCAAATAAAAACGGTTTAATTTTTTCAAGCAATACTCATACATACATACTATAGTCTCTAAACTAATCATTATATGTAACGGTGTAATACATGTATTTGTAAGTCTTGCATAGATACAAACATGGATATTCACTGTTGCTCAGATCTTGGGATAAGGTTGTGAATGTCATGTTATTTACTGTGTTTCTGTAAAGTTCTAGCATCTAAAGTGAAGATATTTAAACCCAAGATTTTATTTTAAAATAAACATATCTTCAAACAAAATTGTCCTCCCTCAAATCCCAAACTTAATCACACAAAAGAATTCCACCAAATCCTGAAATCATGAGAATAAAACACACTTTCCACAAAATGTTGCTCCTTTTGCCTAAAAATAGTGAAAATAATCAATTGCAGACTTTTTTATTTTAAGCTTAGATTAGTTTTATTAATTCAGGTAATAGTACTAGCAGTATATGAAGAAACATTAAGTTCTCAGAAATTCTTAAAACAAAAGTCAGTCAATTATATTACAATTATCTTTCTGCAATAAATCCATAAAAGGAGAAAAAAAACCAAATCTCAGCAACATACAATTTCTTGTATTTCAACTTGCTCTCTACATCCGACTTGCAATTCTGTAGGGGAACTTCCCTACTCCTCTAGTATAATTTTTGTTGTTTTGTAACAATCTTTTCAAGCAAGTATGACAACACTGATGATTACGCACAACACAAGCTTATTAGATCCAAGGAGACAGCTGTTATTTACCTGACCAGACTGTTACCTGGTATTTATCATTGTAGCAATATCTGAAACTTAATGCAGTACCTAAAAAGATTTTGGGGGGAGGATGGGGGGTGGGGTGCTGTGTGGGAAGATACTTCAAACCTACCCATTAAGATGGGTATTCTTGCTATTTAAACTCCCTAATTATCCAACTACACATTCAGTTTTGCTTTTCCTTTGATGATAGCCTAGCAACATTTTTAGAAGGAAGTATGTTTGAACTGAACAAAAGCAGCATGCACTTTCATAAGCCAAGATAAATTGATAGCTTATACAAACAGATGTGTCTACTGATCTGTAAGCAGAAGTCTGACCCATGATCACCTTGTTAAGCATCTTAATTAAAAACGTTAATGTTGTTACGTTAATTTCCTTAAAAATGGACTTTTTTTTCTATTCTACACAGATGGCAGACAACAACAAAATCAAAAGTGAAAAGCTCTAAGCTTCTGCAAGTACCTTTACTGAATTTAAAGTTACATACCTTTTGATAGCCACAAGTTCCCCTGACTCGTTGCTCTTCCCCATCAACACACTGCCATAGGTGCCATCACCTAGTTGTTTCATGATTGTGTAGCGGTTCATTTTTTTTTAAGACCCGGATAGCCAAAGCTTATGGAACTCTAAATGTCTTCTGTTTTATTCAAGGATTCTATGCTCTTTGATTTTCTTAGAGAAATCTTCTTCCAGACTTTATGTTGGTGAATGTCTTCTCATAACGGAGCAGGATATTCACTAACCTCCTCCAAATTACACCTACTTTGAGATCCAGATGTAAGGGTTAAGAGACAGAAGAACATGGTCATTCTCACATAGATCCTTCAAAAAAAAAAAAAAAAAAAAGAAAGAAAATATGTAATTTTATAGTATTTTAGGAGAGAAACACTACTATTTGTGTCTAACAATAACAATCCCCAGATCTGTATGTATTCTTCAAATAGAACACTTCAATATAACTAGTTCCTTTAAATCCTCCAAACCACAGAAGGTGCCTAGTCTAGGATTAGGGTTAGAGTAAGCAGGGACCAGAGAGTCAAGATTACTGTCATAATTCCCTAGAAACAGAGAAGTGTGTATAAGGCTGATGTCCTCTGATGGAACTCCCTAATCTGCAGACAGCAGCAGGTTCCTAATCTCTAACAAAGGTAGGCCTGAAGTTTGGGAAAGCAGACAGAAAGCCTCAAAATTTGCATGAGGTGCTATGGCAAACCTAGGGTCCAAATGCTGTGTTTTGGATTGGTGGTGCAAACAGGCTCACTTTGCTTAAAGCTAGTGAGGAAGGAAGGTGAAGAAGCAAGATGAACACTGCATTCTTTACCAAGGTAAATCAAGTTGTTATAAATGTACTTGGATATCTTTCTCTGATGTTCACAGAATTTTTAGTCTACAATCACAGTTAGGCTTAGGCACAGTAATGGCTGAAGAGTTAAGTTTATTGTTCAGTTTTACAAGGCCTGCAGAGAGAAGTATAGAGCTCACGTGCATTGGTATGGAAGACTAGAACTGAATTGTCATTTGGAAAAGAATTCACATTGAACAATGATGAATCTTCATCTTTGAATTTATGTAAACCTCAATTTGAATCCTGATCCAAACTTGAGTCTGAATCCTAGCTTTTGTTATACACTATACTATCTGTCACCAACACTTCAGGTGAAGGCCAGTTCCCACAGATCCTGCACACAAATTCTAATTCTAATCTTAGCACCTACTTAGGCTGTCTACTAGTTACAATCCTAAAAACTGATGTTAAGTCACTTATGCAAACTCACAATAGTCATCCACTTATTTATGCAAGCCTAGGAAGAGCTTAACAACCAATCACTGTGCCATTTACCCACTGTAACCCAAATGCTTAAACACAAACCAACCACTGAGTGCTAACTGAATTCCAGTATTACCTCTACCTTTTGCCTCTGTTGTCTGAAAATTAAAAATAAAGCTCAGATTAGTTGGCATCCACAGTCAGCCTATCTCTGTAGGAGATGGAGAATTCAGCATGCAACTCTAGTTCTTAACTTTATGTCAGAATTAGCTACAGGCTGGTAAGGCTGTCCAAACAGAATAAGGATCTCCAATTCATCTGGTAACAAGCCTCAGGCCTGAGATTTATAGGCCTGGCAAAATTCAACAATAAAACTGGCCTCTTGTAAGTGTGAACGCAGCATTCTTGAGTAGACTAGCCTGCTGTGTAAAGGAAGCATCTGCCTGGACAATACACTGATATTTCTAAGATGTTATTATTTGAAAAGCTGCTTCGTTGGAGAAGTTGTAACATGCACCTTGTTAATCCCTGATGTTTCTGTTACCAGGGAGGAATCTTGTATCAGCTGTCAAGATGCCAGTAAAAGTGACCTAGTGGACATCTCAACTTAAAATCCTTGCACCAGACGACCACTAGTTTGGCAGTGAAAAATACACTGAAGTTTTTATCCATCTCCTCCAAAAGCCATTGCTACAGTAAAATAGGATCACTGGTTAATAGCGTATTCTGTAACAAAGCTAAACTCCAGATTTAACAAAAAGTAACAATCATAGACAATTCAAATTATGACTGGGTTTTAAATTGGACTTTCATATATTTAAGCCTACTGTTCTTCTAAGAATTCAGCTTTATATCTTATTCCACAGAGTGCCTGCCCGCACTCTAGTCTTTATTACCTTGAACAATGCCATTTCTTTAACAAGACTATTTGTTGACTCCAGTAATAAGCAGATGATCAAGTGTTTATGCCAAGCTGATACATACATACTACATACATATCAATTATTAGTTTTATATATGCATATTAAAAAAACAAACCAAAAACTTTCTGAAAGTATTCTAATATACATTTTTAAAACACAGCATCTGCAACTAAAGCATCAGCAGTGATAAACTGTATATGCATTTTGTGTATAGGTATACATAGGCTTATAACATGAAGTGAACTTAAATGTAGCAGGATTTGGGTGCCTGCGTTTCTCTGTTTCAACAAATATCATTGAACTTTCTTTAAGATGGGGTTTTGGAGTGGATTTGGCAATATCTGCCAACAATGGCTCTAGCCTGAACTCCTAGAGTTACATACATTAAAAATTTGCAGAACTCACATGCATTTCAAGCCCAACCTTTTGCCCTCTAATGAAGTGAAACAAAATACCAAGATGAAAACCTCTGTGTTTACAATAAGCAGACCCAGATATAGACACAAACCTCAAGTTTTGACCTTTAAGTCCTCTAATTTTGGTGCCTAAATCCTATCAGCTTTCCAAGTAATTTTGGCATACAAATTAATCAAATGCTTTTACAATTACTCCTTTTGTCCAATTCTATTATTTCAGCGTGTGCACTTGAAACAGTATCACATAAAGTGTTTCTTCCCTCCAGAAGCCCCATGCAATGTAACACATCACAAGACACAATCATGCATTTTTTCTGTTCTGTAATATATCTTATTGCCTTATCATTTTCTACTGCATCCTGTAATTTTTAGGGTATAAAAACACTTAAGTACAGAAATGTCAGCACATTCCTTTAATACTCAAATGGAAGCGTTAAAGTTGTTCTATGGAAATGCACAAAACCAGGTGTGAAAACTACATACCCTAACAACAATATCTAGGTACCATCAAAAATACCGCATACATTCACCACCATGCTGATGCATGCTAGGCTGTCGCACTAATGACTCTCGTGAAGTGTTGTCCTCGTCACAGTTAATAAAAAAGGCAACCGTGTCAACTCCTAGTGAGATGTCATCAGCTGAAAACTAACCAAATTCAGTGAAAAAAGGACTGAGGATATCACGCTTGACTCTAAGCTCTTCTCCAACTTTTTAGAGAATTCATCCTTCATACAGAAGTATCTAAAAAAAAAAAAATAGAGTTCCGTAGACAACTAACCAGTCAATTTTACAGCGGTGCTAATACACACGGTAGTCCGTAAGAAATACTGGAGGGTGACAGAGGTTTTCTAACCAAGAAGTACAGCACTGGGTCCTGCAAGACTCTAACTGCCACCATCCACTGATATTAGGATAAATGAGGCTGCCAAGTACTTGCATTTATGAGCCTGGTGTGACATCAGGGTCAGGGGCTCCTTTCACTCTTACTGGGATTGCAGAGCATGGTGAGTTAGAATATAAATGCTCTAGAAATTCACATTTCATTACAACAGCCTTTTGCACGCTTCATACTTTGCGGAACATGCACCCAGCTCAGGTGTGCAATTTTTTCAAATTTGCAGTTCAGTTTTCTCTTTGGTACCAACCTGGGGAAAAGCAAGGACTCAATCTATCTTTTCTGGTTAACGCAAGACTCTGAAGTGGCCTTTTCCATCCTAAAGCTTATATGAAATCATTTCCTCAGTGATATGAAGCTCTAAAATGTAAAATTTTCACAGTAGTCAGCTTCTAAACCGAAAAGAGAAATCCTACCGTAAACAACAGTTTGCTTATACTCTTAATGACATCCTGCCCATAATCTCTTCACACAGGATTAAGAAAGGATTAAAGCAGGGGACAAATAGAGGACAAAATACAATAGATTGAAAGAACCTAGTAATATGTGTAAATTTAGAGAATCTGAACAAGTACTAAATAATTTACGGAAATTTTCACTTTTACTATATTACTGGTGTTTTATTTTAAGCAGTAGCAACAACTTTAGATATAGATCTCTGTATTACATTGCAAAATGTAATGAATAACAGCAAATCATCTGCATTTCTGCCGTACAAGTATTCTGCATTACCAAAAATTTTACATTTGCATGCTAGACAATCTACTCTCAAATTAAAATACAAAGATACATGACCTGATAAAGACCTCCCACCCAGATAAGCAAAACACAACCCAATTTCACAAACTTGTTTAAAGTAAGTGCTGAAATCACCAAAACCATTCACTGAGCACAATACTACTCTCAATGATCTAAACTGGCAGCATTGCACAGTACAGAATATATGCTGATACAAATTTAAAAGTTAAAAAAACCCCATAGACCAACAAATTGTGGCTACAAAAACCTTCTTTGTTGTGACCATATATTACTAAAACTGACAGTAATCAGGTCCAATGATAGGTGGATCCAGTTCTCAAGATTAATCAAAGATCAGCAGTTATTTAAAAGCAGGACTCAGCTGCAAGCAAGAAGTTAATAACATCAACAATAAATATTTGTCCTTTCAAATATACTGCCTTAAATTTTTTTAAAAAGCCACTTCAGATATGTAGTATGTTGTTTCACGAGGCATGTGAAAAAAGCAGAAACTCCGGTTTGCTGGAAATATATCCCCTCATTTTGTTCCAAACGAGCTTTGGTTTCAAACCAAAATGATCCACACCAACTTTTTCAGGATGATTCCACAGTGACCTGCGTGGATGCTGCCGCTCTGTGTCAGCAACATTACCTCTTCCCACCCCCGTGAAACCTCTCCCTGCAATGCAATGAGCGGTACAGCCAGTTGCAAGACAGTAAATGTTTGAGCCGAGACCCGCTCCTGGGCTTTCAAGTCTCCAGCCTTGAGCAGCATCCAGAAAGAACACAGGCTACTCATGTTTCAACATCTCCGCCCCACTGTAAGTTTCAATAAATGCCCATTTCCGTGCCAATTTTAGTTGCAGCTGATGAGATTCTGTTATCTCCCAAGAGCGTGCAGTTTCCTCCCCTAACATATGCTCACGGTGGAAAGGGGAGCATAAGGCTCCTCTCACTTACCCAGGCTGTGAAACTCAAGACTGCCTGGCCTGGAAGTTCCACCCTGGCTCTCATAGATAAAAATTCGCCTTCTCTCATTAACCCTGAACGTGTCAGGCTGCCGAGGCCTGGACCTGCCTTGCTGCAGGATCCCTATCTCCACACGCTCCACAGCCCAGCAGAGCTTTGGCTCCCGAGCCGGGCACTACAGGGCGGGGCAACTCCTCGTACACGCGAGGAAGGGCCACCCGTGACCCTGCCCACGGGCCTAGGGGCTGGGAGAAGCCATCCTGTCCAGGGACAGATGATGGACCCCGCGCTGCTCCCGCTCCAGCCTAAACCGGCAGCTCCTTCGTTCCGGTGGGGGGAGCCTGGGGCTGACCCCGCCCCAAAGAGCCGGGACACGGGGGGCACCCGCTCTCAGGACGCCCACCACCCCCGCTGGGGACCCGGCCCCCCTCCCACCACCGAGCGCGGCCGCCCACTCACTGCGGGCGGTGCCGGGCGGGCGGCGCCGAGCCCCCGACCCGCCAACGGCCGCCAACCGCCGCCAACGGCCGCCGGGCCGCTCTGCCTCGTCGCCAGGGCGACGGCGCGGGGCCGCGGGGGGGGCGGGGCTCGGCCTGCCTAGGGCTCCGCCCCTTCGGCCGACGTCACGTGGCCCTGCGCGGGGCAGGCGGGGCGGGGCTGAGCGCAGGCGCAGTGGGCAGGGGCAGGGGCAGGGGCACAGGGCCGGTCAAACGGGAGTCGGGCCTTGTCTGTCCTCATTGGTAATGGCAACCCTAGAGCAAATAAAGCCACCGTGCACAGAATTGTGTGCAGAAATTCCTATATGTCCGTCATACTTGTTGCTGGAATGAAGTCTGAAGTTTTGGTTTTGTTTTGTTTTTTTTTAAATTTATTTTGGGGGGTTTGTTTGTTTGTGAGGGGGTTTTGTTTTTTTTTTTTTTTGGGGGGGGGGTAGGGATTGGGGTTTTTTGTTGGTGGATTTTTTTGTTTTTTTTGGTAGGGTTTTTTTGTTTTGGGTTTTTGGGTTTTTTTGTGTTTTTGCTTTGGGTTTTTTGGGGGGTTTTTTATGTTTTTTTTTTTGTTGTGTTTTTTTTTCCCCCTAAAGTTTTTATTATTTACTATAAGCAACTTATTAAAATGCATGTTGCTAATATTAATGCAGGGGGGGAGCTTTGGGTGCTATTCTAAAATACTTAAGTTAGAAAAATAATCATGATGTTTCCTCTTGGTCCTTTGTAACCTGCATTTTTCCAGTGTGTGTGGCAGGCACAGTTGTTAAAACCTACATATTTAGTGTCTGAGATAGTAATTTTGGCAGCGGAGTCTCATTTTAGGCCTTAATTCTCAACATTCGTTTGAACTTTCTATTTTTTAATGTTTCTGAGAGTAAGGGGCAAGAAAAGGGGGAGATCCTTTCAACACAGTAAATAGTAGTGGCACTATGGAGGGAAAAGCAGAAGGTGGTTTTAGAAATTCAGATTCGTATCTGCTTCACCAAGCTGGAAGCTCAGGCTTGCTGAGTGAAAAAGAGGAGCCGCCTTAACTATACCTCCCACCCCCCAGCCGCCAGCCCTGTGCTTCATTAGCTGGTGTGGTGACTTTGTCATGGTTTAAGCACTGATGACAGATTAATTGATTATGTCTCAAGTCAGTGGGGTGGAATGTGGGGCTATGGGAATCGATTTTCTGGAATCCAAGGGATTCGACCACTCACGCATAGTTGGCTGAAATGCAAGTACAAGAAAACAACGTATTTTCTGAAACAGAATATGCCCGTTTCCTTTATTGAAATAAATCACCAGAGAGGTGTCTCCCAGGTAAAATGAAGTTCAAAGGTGAGTCTTGGACATGAGTAAGAGAGAAGGTGTCATTGCCCACACGAACAGAATTCAGGCAGGGATTCAGCAGGAGGTGACTACGTAGCAAGGCTGTGTGCTCGCCTGTAAGGATGCGCTCAAACACTTACGTGCACACACGACACGCGTGGAAGTACTTCTCCACGGCCAGTGGAAGAGGTGCAGCAGTTGCCCTGTGACACCTCCTCCCTGCCCTTGTGTCCTTTCCTCTCTCTCTGTTCAGCTTAGCCTTGTCCCACCGCTACCCTTCTTTCCCAGTGACGGGCTTCCTCCTCCTCCTCCTCCTCCTCCTCTGGTGTTGCCACCCAATTTCCACCACTATCCCTCGGGCTACCTTCCTCTGCAGGGCCACGGGCCTAATGTGAGGCTTCCTGGGACCTTGCTGGGCTTGTGGCCTGCAAAACTGGTTTGTGAAACTCTAATCCCTTCTCCAAGGACATTAGACCATGGAAGGGAAGGAACTTACAGCACTGCTTTAATGCTTTTATCTGGGAAGTCCCTAGCACGTTGTTCTTGGTTGCTTCTGGGGCATTTCTAGTCTAATTATAGTCACTTATAAGAGATCTGGCACCAGCAAGAGGTCTGATGTTTAAATAATTTCAGGATTAGTTTTGCACAGGTGCAACACTGAAGTCTCAATTCAGTCACCAGGACTTTGTGTCTGTCAGTTGTTGGTACTTTCTGTAACGCTCCCCAGCATTTCACACGCATGAAGACGGAAAGGCTATCGACAGAACTCGCCGGTGTTTAAGCCAAACTGCGACATGGTGCCGAGTTGCAGGACGAGTGCTGCAACCCAGTCACTTAACACTTCATTTTGTCATAAAGACAGGGGAGAGGTGCTGTGCTGTGCTCTTGCTATGAACCAGGAAACCGAAGGAAGCGCAGCGGGCTGGAACAAAGAGACCCTGGAACTGCAGCAATGTTTGTGAGCCTCGCAAAAGGACCTCCAAGAACATCCTCGTGCACCTGCTTCCCTGCTCGTTTTACACCACAAGCAGACCCACTGCTAATTTTCTGTTGAAAGAACCTTCTTTGGTTGTGGTCCTTAAAGTTGTTGACTCTTTCCCCAGAGGCCAGCCTGCCTGAAACTGGCTTCTCCCAAACACCATCGCAAGTGCCAGCACGCTTGTTGAAGCTAATAGGGGTTGTGTAAACTGCATTTAGTTTCTGTTTGTTTGAATGAGCTTGAGCCAAACAGGCGATGTTTCTGTGTGATACCTATTCACACCTGTATCGTCCCACGGATCTTCGTGTTGCCTACGGACTCTCGCAAGCCCATGGCGGTGTTGTGTTGAAATGCACTCTCTGTTTTGCACAGCCCCAACCGTAGCACTACATAAACAGTAACTGACTCGCCCTCTCTTTGCTTGCGAGTGACAGGCAGACAGTTACTTCATGCAGCTAGAACACCGAAGGCAGTGATCCAGAGATGGGACACCACCATACATCAGTCTGATTACTTCTCAGGCAGAGGGGTTTTAACAGACCTGGACTAACTTTTAACTCTGGGGAGGAACTACAACATTAAATGTCTCAGTTTTCCCCTTTTTATCTTCATGTGACTGCTACTGATAAAAGTGGGAATGACATGAACTTTCCTAGATGCATCTCTAGACCTGCATTGTGCATCCTGCCAAATGCTGTCTTTCAGGAAACTTGATCTGCTTTTGTGAACGGGAGTAGCTTGGTTGTATTACATAGCTTCCCCCAAAAAGACACAAAGTAAAACCTTAAAAATTCAGAAAAAAATCCCAGAAAACCCTCAGGCAAAAAAAAAAATAAAACCCAGTCTCAGAAATTATATTCTGCTCTGCTGTGTTGGCAGTGTCTATGGAGTAGCTCTAGTTTCCACCCACAGAGCTCGGAGGAAAGCCTGCCTCCATCTTTAAAGATGATAGTCTGTACCCCAAAATGAGGAGATCAACTATTTCCAGCTCAGTAAGATGAAACCAAGTGCATTAGTGCATGCCTTGTTTGTAGCATTTAGTCTATTTGAAAAGCCTAGAGGTAACCTGCTTTCGGGAGAGGAGCAAGGGCTAAGCGAATTGCTCAGGTTCTCACCAGAGGACTGTGGCAGGACTGGGTGGACACACGTGGCCGTGGAGCGGGACAGGCTCTGTCCTCTCAGCAGGAGGGGATGGGACCACAAAATGATGCCCAAGCATAGCTGCACCCATCAGATGTGTGACACACGGCTGCGCTCGGTGGGCCCACGGTTGAAAAACATTGTCACGCGGCCTCTTGTCTCGGGGAGGCATCCATTCAACTCTTGGGCTTTTAAACTTTGCCATTAAGAGGCTGCTGCTCTGGTACAAAGGGCAGCCCCAGCGTGGGGCAGATGGTGCTTTACCTCAGTAGGGCCCTTGTAGTCCATATGAAGCAGGAGCCACAGGTGGCCAAGGTTTGAAAGCACCTTTTTTCCCCCCTCCCTCCGTGACTTCGCTATAACAAGTGGAATTTGTTAGATGAAGATGTCTGCTGCGGTGCAGGATGCGGGCTGACGAGGGGCTCCTCTCAGGTGCTCAAGGCAGGACCAGAAACCGTGCTTGAAGGGGATGATTAATGGAAGAGAGGACGCTTACTCAGGGACTGAAGGAAGCACATCTTTCTTCAGGATGCTGCTTTGCTTGAGAAACACGCTTTTAGAGTCAATTCTGCAGCTATAGAAACCAACAAGGAGGCTTTCAATTTCAGGTTTTTTTGTTACAGAAGCTCATGCTGCCTTTACATTTCTACATTTTGGAGAGAAAACTATGTACAATACTAGACTTTATCCATGTGATCTTTTATCTGGAAAAGGTAGTGTAGTGATATCTTGTCCCAGACACTTATGCATGAAAGGGAGCAAAGTGAAGAAAGACTGCAATAACCTTTAGAGTGGTTTTATTTGTTCTAGTGCTACAGATGATGCGGTGAGGTAATTGCTACTGCAGCTTTTTACTGTGTTAAACAGCTGTCATGTTTATTAGAAGTAAGTCCACACCCAAAAAGTAGCATCTTAACACAACTGGCTGCATTTTGACAGATGTACAAAGTCCTGCTTAAAAGGCTATGTTTAAGAGCATAGCATAATGATTTAAGCTTACAGCTACAATGACAATTTTTATACCAGTAACATTAACAGCACAAAACCCCCACAGTTTGCCTGAATGTTTTAATACACTTGAAGCCTGAGCTATGGTTGTCTAACTCCTCTACAGTCAATATAAAATAGAGCAACTTACAGCTTTAAAATTTTCATTGACTTTTGCATCTGCTGTGACTCTTTCCAGATTTTCTAGTCACTTTGTTTGACCTTTTTCCCATTCAATACGTTTCTTTTTCTTTTAAACTTAGAAGGCTGTAAATCTTAATTTTTATTCTACATGGAAAATGCCTCGATATGATTTGGAGTACAGATGGGAAATCTCAGTTCTGTAAATGGGCATAGTGTTACATCTCCCTCAACTTTAAAACTTTGCATCAGTCCTTCCAGGTGGTAACTTTTTTTTTGTTGTTTTTTTTTTTTGTTTGTTTGGGTTTTTTTGTGTTTTTTTTGTTTTTTTTTTTTTTTTTTTAGTTTAGTATGTGGGCTAATTATCAAACTGATGTTGCTCAGCTGAATCTGTT